AGAGAGAGAGAGAGAGAGAGAGAGAGAGAGAACATAAGAACTCGACATGGTGGTGCACATCTGTAATTACAGTGACTGGGGAGATTGAGGCAGCAGGATCCAAAGTTGGAGGCCAGCCTCAGCCTCAGCAATTTAATAAGGACGTGTCTCAAGATAAAAAACCAAAAAGGGCTGGGGACTGTAGGTCAGTTGTAAATCACCCCTGGGCTCAATCTCCAACACACATAGACAAAAAACACAGAATAAAATTCCAAAATGGGCATTTCACCTAAAGTTAGATGATTCCATCAACACAGAGCTATCCGACTCTATATGGATATATAAAATTCTAATACTGATCAGACACAAAACTTACAAGTGGCTGAATTTGTTGTTAAAAGTACATTTCCTAGACACAATCTTAAGTGTTAAGTACTTTGAAACATATTGCAGTGTAACATATGTTAAGGACACATATGTTAAGTGTACAATTTGAATTTTTACAAAATTCAACAGACTCATGCCACTAGCACTTAACTTTTTTTGGGGGGGGACGGGGACTGGGGATTGAACTCAGGGTCACTTGACCACTGAGCTACATTCCCAGCCCTATTTTGTATTTTATTTAGAGACAGAGTCTCGCTGAGTTGCTTAGAGCCTCCACGTTGCTGAGGCTGGCTTTGAACTCGTGATCCTCCCATCTCAGCCTCCTGAGCTGCTGGGATTACAGGCTTGAGCCACCATGCCTGGATAGCACTTAAATTAAAAAAAAAAAAAAAAAGCATTGTTTTTAAAGCTAACTCTTCTTAACTTTCAAAAAGAAAAAAGTAATGTGCTCTGGATATTTGGTAAAATGGTATGAAACTTTAAGAGCAAATGTCCCTCTTGAATGTCTTCCTTGACTTTTAGTACCACTTGTGGTAGGAAAAATAGCGCTCCCCAAAAGGTCTACATCCTACTCCCTGAACTTTATGTGTTACCTTACATAACAAGAGAGACTTTGCAGATGTTTTTAAGGATTTTGAGGTGGGAAAATTATCCTGGACTACTGGGTGGACCCAACATAATCAAGTGAAAGAGTGGAACAAAAGAGGGCAGAAGAATGTGAAAAGAAAAGTAGAGGTCAGAAAACCTATGAGCCAAGGAATGTGGGCAGCCTCTAAGAGCTGGAAAAGGCAAGGGAATAGATTCTGTCCTGCAGCCTCCAAAAGGCAGGTGATTGTACCGACACCTTGATTTTAATCCCTGAAATTCTTTCCTTGGAACTCCTAGTCTCCAAAATAAGGCAATTATTTTGTGTTGTTTTAAGATGCTAAGTTTATGGTAATATGTTACAGCTGCAATAGGAAACTAATACACCATTTGGAATATCTGGTGAGTCTATGTCCAGATTCATTTACCTTACTGCCTATTTAGTAGCTTCATACAGTTATCTCATAGACATCTCAATTGTATCTTGTCCAAAATTAAAATTTTATTTTTTCCTTCCCCAAATTTACTTTTCCTTGGTCTTTCTCATCTTAATAATGGTACAATCACTTAGTTCAATGACAGAAACCTGGAAGCCATTCTTTCTTTTTTTATTTTAAGAAAAATTTTAAAGAAGATGGATTCCTTTTATAATTTATTTTTATAAATTCCTTGGCTCATGGTGTTGAGGATTGAACCCAAGGCTTCATGATACTGAGCAAACACTCTACCAGGAGCCACATCCCCAGCCCTGGAAGTCATTCTTGATACCCTGCCCCCATCATCCCCTTATATCTAATCCATGATTAAGTTTTATCAATATTATTTTCAAAATAAATCATATATTCATCTACTTCAGTTATCTCACTGCCACCAATTCTTAACTCTCATCCAGTCCATTCTCCACCCCAGGAGTCCAAAATATTTAAAGAGAAATATTTAAAAGAGAAATCTGATGGCACTTCCTTGCATTAAAACCCCTTAATGTCTTCCGTACTGTTGGACTGATGTGACCTTTTAGTGGCTTCAAGCTAGCTTTAGGGAACAAATGGTTCATAGTATGCTGCAAATTAGACCTTCATCATTAATTGAAATACATCATGAACTGCAAAAGTATGATGGAGGGGCTGGGGCTATAGCTGAGTGGCAAAGCGCTTGCCTCGCACGTGTGAGGCACTGGGTTTGATCCTCAGCACCACATAAAAAAATAAAGATATTGTGTCCATATACAACTAAATTTTTTTTTTTAAAGTATGATGGAATTTAAAATTAGCTTTGTACCAAGCAATCTCAGTGAGTTGTTAAATAGTTTCAGTTGTGGTAAATTCTTTAATGGTTGTAAAAAAGTTTTAATATTTTCTGTCAATTGGAGTTTCTATAGTGACTCAGAAATTTGAGTCAATTTAAAACATTAAATTCTTCATCAGGAGCCGGGCTAGCCTTTTCTCACTAGGTGTCTCTCAGGACAAAATAGTGGCTCGGTGTGGGCCAGGTGAATAGGGGACGTCCCCAGGGCCTTGGAACTAGCTAGTTAGTTACCTGCAGTGAAGGCCAACGCTGATCAGACTGTAATAATCAGTTAGAATCATCACCTTGTCATGATTGACACTCCACCAGAGCCTTAGAGTACAAATGGCAAGGAGTGACGAGGCTTAACTCCAGGGACAGCTCTGGGACAGACAGGCTGCACTAGAGTATTGCTTTGGTGCTGGTCTATGAAATGATTAAGGGGGGAAAAAATCCCACCTTGGGTGCAAGGCCCTAGCAACTACTCCGCGGGAGGACTTGGGTTTCAGTGCGTGTGTCACCGGTGTGTGTCACCGGTGGAGAGAACGCCTCGAGGCGGGAACAGGTTGGCAGGCCAGCTCGGCCGCCTGCCAAGCGCTGCCACGACGACGGAAAGTACCTAGCTCGCGGGCAAGAGGCCTCCTGAAAGCGGCTGGGAAGGAGCCCGGGGCGGAAAGCAGCCAATCACGGGAGCCCTCGCAGGCGACGGAAGGCGCGTTCGCCGACTCGGCGATCAGGCAGTGGGAGCCAGGTCCTGAGTCGAGCGACGAGTCATCGACCGGCACGCCCGGGTAGTGGAAGCCCCGGGGGCGGGCTAGCGCCGGCCTGCTTTCCAACTCTAGGTTCAGCTCTCGCCGGAGAAGGGCGGCGGCGGCGCGGCGCGGCGCCGGAGGGAACCTCTGACTCGCATCTGGTGAGAGCCGCGCCTCAGCCGGGACTCGGGAGAGCATCCTGCTAGACCCCAGGACCGTGTCTTCCCGCCCATTCCCCGAGGCCCCATCTACCCGGCCGGCCGCAGGCAGCTTTCTACCGCGGGCTCGCATCCCGATCCGGGTCTTGCCTTGTGCCCCGCTGCCCTACACAACAGGGTCCCCCTTTGGCCCTCTTCAGGGCCCCTGCATGTGGCTGCTGGAATTGACGGGCTCAGTGTGGGCCAGGTGAATAGGGGCTGGAGGTGCAGAGAAAAGCCTTAGCTTGTCTCCATCCCCATGGGCAGTGCTGTCCAGCAAGGAAAGAGAGTGAACTTCCGTTACAAAGGCGAGCAAGAAAGGGTGGAGAGGTGCTTGACAGACAAGGTGTCCTGGGGTGTGTTAAGGCTCTTCTGAAAATGGTCTTGAAGGACCCGCCCAGCCCTGAGTCTGTCTTGAGTCGGGGCTTCCCTGGAAGTTTGGTAGCATTTATTACCCCCACCCCAACCCTGAACACACTTGTAAAATTGTTAGAACACAAGGAAGTATGTTTTGCTCCTCTGATAGGAGGGATGGGGTACAGCTTAGCAGTACGGTCAGTCCAGCTGTAGGAACTCAGGAAGGAGAAGCCAACCCAAATTATAGCTTGGGGATAGAGTTCTGAGTTTCAGACCACTTTCTGTAGCCCTTCTTATTGCTAAGAGTTTCATCCTCTCTGCACTGGAAGAAGGGTCACTTATTATGTTTTCTTCTAGGAAGATTTGCACTCACGGATAATTTTGGAATGAATAGACCCAAGGCAAACTCGGGGTGTGGGTCAGTGTCCAGAGTGCTGGTGGATCATCCAGATCTGGGTTTGATTTTGGATGATGTCAGCTATGCAGTTAGTGATTGGGGGCAAGTAAATCATTTTCTCTGTGACTCAGTGCTCCTGTTTGTAAGATGAAGTAATAAGAGGGCTGTGAGAATGAATTTAGCTAGTGCTTATAGAGCTGTTAGCAAAGTGCTTGGCACTTTGTTTACTTTGTTGTTTACTGTTACTATCGTTTCCTTTGTTCACAAAGAACTCTTTCCACATTTGAGTGGGACGTTTTTAATTTTGTTGGAAAGAGTTAAACATCTTTTTGACAATATGTATAATTGACAGTCTTGAGTTGAAAGTGGTTTTTAAGAATGGATTCTCAGAGATTGCCATTGAATTCAAGAGGAAGGCATACTATCTATCTATTCCTTCCTAAAGGGCTGGGATGTAACAGCTCAGTGGTAGAGTACCCCTGGGTTCAGTCTCCAGTACTACAAAAAAAAAAAAAAAAAAAAAAAAAAGCCAAAGAAATATTTCTTTTATATGATTTTTTAAAAATAAACGAGCCTGGCAACTTAACTAGACTCTGTCTCAAAAATTTAAAAAGGGAATGGGGTGTAGTTCAGTGGTAGAATACTTGCCTAGCATATATGAGGCACTGGGTTCAATTCCCAGTACTGTCCCATACCCCCCAAAAGTTTATATACTGTATAGACAAAATTTACATGAAATAGTAAAGCTCTTTTACCCCCATTTTATTTTTCTTTTCCTCCCTTTTGAGAAAGGAGAATCACAATTTGAGGCTAGCCTTAGCAACTTAGGGATGCTTTGTCTCAAAAAAAAAAAAAATTTAAGAAAGGGCTGGGGATGTGGCTTAAGCACTCCTGGGTTCTATTCCTGGTACCAAAAAAAAAAAAATATGTTGTTCAATATTTCACAGTTTATTTACATGACTGGTTTACTCAGTTCAGGTAGAATAACTGTTAGGTAACTTGGTAAATACTTTGCACTGCCAGGTGGAAAGTTTACTGTTCTTGTAAAGTAAGTAGAAATTGACCAACTATGAATGATTTACTTTGCCTTACCTGGCAAATTTAATATCACCAAAAGTTTATTCAGCTCAAATTTATTAGTGGAAGAAAGACTATGTACAAGAACACTCAAGACAGCCATTGTGGAAGAATATTTTTGTATTTTTAATGATTAAATAGTGCTTAGGTCTTCTGAATACTCTTGGCAGAATGTTCATTATCTTACAAGTGCTATCTTTTGAGTGAAATTAGTTTTTAATGGGGATTGTTAATTCAGAAAGGGCCTAATGATGGGGCAATTTGCATCCCTAAAAAATGAAGTACCAATAATAGAGGGCTGCTGATAGGATTTCCAGTGAGTTTCAGAGGGCACCACCCCTTGTGTTGACACCCTTAGTCAAGTTCCCTGGATTGGTTACAAATTCTAAATATTGATGTACTTCCTGAAACCTAAGCATTGAGATCAGAGTCCATAAGGTGTAATTTTACATGATGCAGAGCAGTTTAAAAGGTTCCATAAAATCTCTTACTTCCTGCCCCAATTTTTACTTTTGAATGGAGGGTGTGATGGTTTGAGGGGGATAGGTAGGAAGACAAGTTGAACAATAGTATATTTGTGTATGGTAGGGCTATTGTGCTCATAGGGAGGTAAGCAACTAATAGCTGTTTGAGGAAGACCTGAGGCTTATGGGAAGCCTTTAGAGAAGAGGTGACACTCAGCCTGAGTTCTTCTTTCTTTTCTCTTTCTTTCTCTCTCTCTCTCTCTCTTTCTTTCTTTCGTACTGGGATTGAACCCAGGGGCGCTTAATCACTGAGCCACATCCCCAGCCCTTTTTTTATATTTTATTTAGAGACAGGGTCTTGCAGAGTTGCTTAGGGCCTCATTAAGTTGTTGAGACTGGCTTTGAACTCTTGATCCTCTTCCTCAGCCTCCCTAGCCACTGAGATTATAGGGTGTGCCAAATCCCCAGTAAAAACTAATTCCACCACATCTGGCCTGAGTTTTTCTTTTTTCTTTTTTTCCAGTATTGGGGATTGAACCCAGAGTTATTTTATCACTGAGCCTTTGTAAGGAAGGAAGGAAGGGAGGGAGGGAGGGAGGGAGGGAGGGAGGGAGGGAAGGAAGGAAAGGAAGGAAGGAAAAAATATATATTTTTTCCGAGACAAGGTCTTGCTGAGTTCATAAGATTGGCCTTGAACTTGAAATCCTCCTGCTGCAACCTCCCAAGTCACTAGGATTACAGATGTGCACCACTGTGCCTGGTTCAGGCTAAGTTTTGAAAGATGAGTAGGAGTCCAAACAAGAGGGAAGGCAAGTTTTAGGTAGAGGTATTTGTACCTAAAAAGGCACAGAGATCCATTAGTTGAACTGTAGGCAGTTTGGTGTGGCTGGTGCTTTAGCACAGAGTAAGGATAATTGTGTGTAGTGGAAAAATGGCCTAAAAAGATGGGTTAGATTTGGATCAGCAATTTGTATTTTGTCCCATAGCAATCTACCCTGGTTAGCTTAATATCTGATTTACAAACTAAAGGCCCAAGGTGAGGAATTGAACTATGGGAAGTCCTGGTGGGGAAGAAGAGAAGGAGATTTGGAAGATATTTAGGAGGTGAATTGACAGAGCTTAGGAGGTAATGGAACAGAAAGTGACGATGTGAGGAACAGAGAGGATAGGGACATCAAGACATTTGATAAATCATATGCATGCTGAGAGAACAATTAAGAAGGAACGGGCTTAGGAAAGAAAATGAATTCAGATTGGGACATTGACTTACATTTGTTTTGTTTTGTTGTGGTACTGAGGATTGAACCCAGGACCTCACATGTGGTAGGCAGGTTTTCTACCATTGAGCTATTATCTCCAGCCTGGGATATTGACTTTAATATGCCTATGGGATGTATAACTGGAGACACCTGGTAGCATGTGAGATTGGCAGTTTTGTAGGTACTGGTGTGTAGGGATTAATGATGTATTAAAGATAAGGTTTTTATATTACTTATCTTTCTCTTCCCCAGCACTAATCACAGTCCTTATATTTAAGATGGTGTATAGTATGAGGCTGAGTAGATTATGTACCTTGGAAGATGTGATCTTGAATCTTGAGTAATTTCCCCTCTTAAGACTTGTGTTTCCCTTTCTATAAAGTGAGGAAGTTAAACTATCAACGGTTCTCTACCAAAGTTTTCCAACAGTGTGGCATATTGGGTTCAGTTGTGAGTTATGGCAAGTAATTCTTAATTAATAATAATTAAAGAGCTGACACCTCCTTTTAAATGAAAGTTGAGTTATGTCACTCTTAATTGCATTCCAGAGTGTTTTCTTGACTATGAGAGAAAGGGTTTGAGTTAGAGTTAGTCTGCTGAAATTTCATAACTGGCAATTATGGTACGAGTGTCACACAGCAGTGGGTTGGAAAAAATAGATTAAGAATCACTACACTAAGTGGTAGGATGTAATACTGAAAAGATCTATTTTATATCTATGAATTATTCTGATAACAAACAATTTTTATTTTTGAAACTTCAGGAACTCTATTTTAAGAAACTCTCCAAACAAAAAAAACAAGTCATGGAGAAGAATGGGAATAACCGAAAGCTTCGGGTTTGTGTTGCTACTTGCAACCGTGCTGATTATTCTAAACTTGCCCCGATCATGTTTGGCATTAAAACAGAGCCTGAGTTCTTTGAACTTGATGTGGTGGTACTTGGCTCTCACCTGATAGATGACTATGGGTAAGCTCAAAGTGTTTTCTTATTCTTCATTGTAAGGGTATATGCCAGAGAGTTTGGATATTTTGTAGCCATATGGATCTAGCTTCAAATCTCAGTTCTATCACTTAGTTTTTATGTAGACTTTGAGAAGATGCTTAGTATCTTTGAAATTCAGTTTCTTCAATTGTGAAACAGAGTGAAAACCTATGTTGTAATTTATTGTAACAGAGAATGATTTAAATCATCCATCACAATGATGTTGCTTATTAGATATTTGATAAACAATCACTATAAATAATATTACTATTTATTATTATATTCAGGAGAAATGCCACTTGTAAATATATATTATGTGACTATAATAATATGATTCCATATAATCTATTTTGTAAGGTCTTTTTTTTTTTTTTTTTTGGTGGGGGGGTGCTTTTTGGATTGAACCCAGGGCCTAATGAATGCTGGGCACACACACTACCATTGAGCTACATCCCCAACCTGTGTTTTGAGTTCTAATGGCAGTTCTTCAAAACTGGTTTATAGAAAATACATTCACCAAGTGAATGTATTTTCCTTTCCCTTTCCTTTCTTCAACAGCAAATTAAGTAGTATATACAGAACAACATTTTTTAAAAATCTAATTGATTTGAGGTAAAGTAGAATGTTATAATATTATGACCATTGATATTTATTTTAGTGGCATTAGATTTGTAGTGGACATGGGATATATTTGCAAAATGAAGATTGAGTAGTCTTTGAGGGAGTAGAATATATAAACCAGAAATAAACATTCATTTAACTATATGTAATAAAGTGGCATTTAGTGCACCCTTGTGGCATGAAAATGTTCATGCAGTCTTCAAAGATGGTCAAAATGCATTATTATATATGAAAGTAGATTGTGTGTTAAAGTAAAAGTGTCCTTTTCTGAGACTCTTTAAAAATAAGACAACACTAGCAAAATAAACAAATAGGAAACCTGCCTTCAAAAACTAATTTAGCAGTTTGTTCTAAGAAAATATTTAAAGAGTAGAGAAGAAACTTATGGTTAGCTCAGGGATCCATAAATTTCTAAAAAATATGAAATGAATTCTGTCAACATAAGAAAATCTACTTGGGTGAATAGGACAAGATAGAAGAGAAATTTTAGCTAGAGCTAGAAATCAAAGTCTGAGTGGGTTCTTTTGCCTCTATAGTGAAAGTTTTTGTGGTGCTGGGGATTGAACCCAGGGTCTTATGCATGCAAGGCAAGCATTTTACCAACTGAGCTATATCTCCAGCCCTATAGTGAAGTTTTGACAGGAAGACTGATGGAAGAGAGGCTCATAGGAAAACTATAGTTGGGTTTCTTTTTTTTTTATTTTTAAATTTTTGGTACTAAGTATTGAATTCAGGGGCACTTAACCAGTAAGCCACATCCCCAGCCCCTTTTAGTATTTTATTTAGAGACAGGGTCTCGCTAAATTGCTGAGGCTGGGTTTGAACTGGTGGTCCTCTTGCTTCAGCCTCCTGAGCTTCTGGGATGTAGTAGGTTTTGTTTTTTTTTTTTTTTTATCTCCTACCATATCAATTAAGGTGGAAAGGTAGTATTTGTCTGGTAAGACTATTAAAAAGGAAGTTTTACTAGTACTTAATAAAAATTTAAGTTTATAATAACTTTTTTTTTTTTTTGGTGGGGGGCACCAGGTATTGAAACCAGAGGTGTTTGGCAACTGAGCTACATCCCCAGCCCCGTTTTCTATTATTTTAAGACAGGGTCTCTCTAAGTTGCCAAGGCTGGCCTTAAATTTGCAATCCTTCTGCCTCAGCCTCCCAAGTCACTGGGATTATAGGTGTGTGGCACTATGCCCTGCTAAAAAGTTAAAGTACCTTCTAATTCAAGAATTTTGTTGCCTCTTAGGAGAGGAATTGGGTGACTGGGAGACAAAAGTGAAAGATTTTTCACTATATAACCTTTTGTACCTTTTGAACCAAGTGAATGTATTTTCCTTTCCCTTTCCTTTCCATGTTGCCCAGGCTGCCCTAGGAAAGCAATCTTCCTGTCTAAGCCTCTTGAGTAGCTGGGACTATGGTTGTATGCCACCCTGCCTGGCTTGTACTATTTATTTTAAGAAGACATTAAAATAACAGGATAGGGGCTGGGGATGTGGCTCAAGCGGTAGCGCGCTCGCCTGGCACGCGTGCGGCCCGGGTTCAATCCTCAGCACCACATACAAACAAACATGTGTCCGCCGAAAATGAAAAAATAAATATTAAAAAAAATTCTCTCTCTCTCTCTTTAAAAATAAAATAAAATAAAATAACAGGATAAATAAGCTACCTTCTATTTCAACTACAGACTATCCCAGATGTATGATCTTTTGACTTATAATTTTTTGACCTTATGATGGTTGAGTTTGAAGCAGTAGGCATCAGTAGAGACTATACTTCAAATTTTGAATTTTGATCTTTTCCAGAGGTAGTGATATGCAGTATGATACTCTGAAAATTTCAGAATGCTTGGCAGCAAGAGCAAGCCCAGGCTCCCATTTAGCCTTGAGATCAAGAGAATAAACCATTGATATTCTGTAGTGTACTGGGTTTCTAAGCTGTGATGTTTGCTAGAGTAGGTCTATTAAGTGAATTTTCTTTTGGTACTGTGAACCCAAGGGCACTTTACCACTGAGCACATCTCCAGCCCTTTTGTATTTATTTTGAGACAGGGTCTTGCTAAGTTGCTTAGGGCCTTGCTAAATTGCTGATGCTGGTCTGGAACTCATGATCCTCCTGCCTCAGCCTCCCAAGTTGCTGGAATTACAAGTATGTGCCATCATGCCTGGCTTTAAGTGCATTTTCAACTTGTGATATTTTCAATTTACAATGGGGTTATCCGGGTTAAATCTCATTGTAAACTAAGGTGCATCTGTACTTGGGACATTTTTAAAATATCAGCATTTTGGGGCTGGGATTGTGGCTCAGGGGTAGAATGTTTGCCTAGCATGTGTGAGGCACTGGGTTTGATTCTCAGCACTGCATATAAATAAATAAATCAATAATAAATTAAAGGTCCATCAGCAACTTAAAAAAAATCAGCATTTTTATGCCCTGAAGAAGTGGGTGTAAAAGGAGAGCAAATGAGTAACAATAGAATGCTCAGAAATTCATTTGTTCATTCAACAATTTTTTATTATACATCCAGGATGTGCCAAATGGCTAATGAGACAATATCCCTGTTCTCAAAGAACTTCCATTCTGGTGGGGGAGATGAATGAGATATAAATAATTAATAAAAATGAAATAACAAAATAATAGAGGAGATAAAATAAGAAAGGAAAACTTGTAATAAAAAAATTTATGGTCTTAAGTGCTTTTATTACTGGTGGAAAATTAAGAGTAAATGGATAAATATCCAACTCAAATGTTAAAATACCTATTTAAGAAAAAGAAGTTCTAGTAATGGCAGAGAAGCTTATATCTGACTAACTCTCCTACAGCTTACTCTTAACTCTGGGAAAATATTTAAAAGTATTTGAAGGCACTGGAGAGCAATCAGCAGCAGGTAGAAACTACAGGAGATAGAATGCCTAAAAGAAGGGATCTGTACTATAGTAGGTGAGATACATGTTTCAATAACTTTTCCCCTGAGCATATTTCCCAAGCCACAGGGTGTAGGTGGCTAGAACTCGAGTAGAAAGCCTCGGTTATTTAGGCTGAGATACTAGAAAATGGAACTTTTCTTGAGGGAATGATTCTAGAAATGAAAGACCACAAGGGAGAAGCCCCAGAATCTGTACATACATTCTTTACAAATTCTTGTTTGACCACTGAACTGCACAAATATGGAAAATTTATTGCTTTAAAAACTTATATTAAAATAGAAGTTTAGAGTCAATGATCTGTGTTTCTACTTTAGTAAACAAGAAAAAAGATGAGAAAATTAAACCCAAAATAGAAGGAAACAAAGAATGGAAATCAGTGAAATATAAAAATAAACAATAGAGAAATTTAAAAGAACAAAAAGTTAATTCTTTAAAAATATTAAAAAGTTGACTTCTAGCAATACATGAGGGAAAAGAAAGAAAATAGAAATTTATCAGTATAGAATAAAAATATCATCACAAACATTAAGAAGAAGAAAAGGGGACTATTATACCAATAAACTGAACAATTTAGATGAAATGGACAAATTCCTTGAAAAACCACTGCTTACCAAAACCACTACTTAAAGAAATAGAAAAATCTGAGGCTGGGTTGTGGCTCAGCGGTAGAGAGCTCACCTAGCATGTGCAAGGCCCTGAGTTCGATCCTCAGCACCACATAAAAATAAATAAATAAAGATATTGTGTCCAATTACAACTAAAAAAATAAATAAATATTTTTTAAAAAAGAAAAATCTCAATAGCACAATATCTATTATAGAAATTGAATTCATTATCAAATATTTTCCATAAAAAATTTCCCAGAAAGATGGCTTCATTTATTAAACCTATCAAACATTTAAGAGAGAAATAACACCTTAAAGAAATATAAAAGCAGGGAGCCTTCCTAACTTATGTTATAAGGTCAGATAATACTGACGTCAAAACCTGACAAAGACATAATAAAATTCAGTCTAGTATTCCTCAGGAATATAAACATAAAAATAAAAAACAAAATAGCAGATCACATCCAGCACATCAGATAACTGTGTATAAAAACCAGATAATATATTAAGACCAAGTGGGCTTATCTTAAGAATTCAAGACCAACTTAATATTTGAAAAACATTGTAACTGACACATTAATAGAATAAAGGGGAAAAAAAACCTATATGATCATTTCAGTAGATGTCAAGAAAGCATTTGATGCTGGGCGGTGGCATGCACTTGTAATCCCAGTGACTCCGGAGTCTGAGACAAGAGGATCACAAGTTCAAAGCCAGCCTCAGCAAAAAGTAAGGCGCTAAGCAACTCAGTGAGACTGTCTCTTAAATAAAATACAAAATAGGGCTGGGGATGTGGCTTTGAAAGAGTACCCCTGAGTTCAATCCCCTGTACCCTCTCCCCGCCGAAAGAAAGCATTTGACAAAATTAAATAACAACCAGTTATGATAAAAACTCTTGGAACCTTGGAATAGAAGGGAAACTTCAATCTGATAAAAGCTGTCTGTGAAAAACTGACAGCTAACAAAATTTGTGCTTTCTAAGATTGGGAACAAGGTAAGTATTTTCACTGTTCTCACTTCTCTTCAATTTATATTGGATATGAAACCGCCAGTGTGATAAATAAGAAGTAAAAACAAAGGGATAATGACTGTCATTATTTGCACATATGATTGCTTGTGGAAAATCCAAAGGAGTCTACAAAATGATAACTACATCTGTATGATGTATGTAAGGAATCCTTAGGCTGGGCTCAGTGGCACTTACCTGTAATCTCAGCAACTCAGGAGGCTAAGGCAGGAAAATCTCAAGTTTGAGGCCAGTCTCACCAGTTGCTGGTGAGATCCTCAGGAATTTAGCAAGACCCTATCTCAAAATAAAAAATAAAAAGGCCTGGGGATGGAGCTCAGTGGTAGAGTACTCCTGGGTCTGATCCCTATCCCCTGCCTAAAAAATAAAAAATAGAATCCTTAATTATCTCACAAAATATGAAATGGATTAGATAGATTATGAAATTATAAAATTATATGTACAATGTATTCTCAGCCATGTTAAAATATTTGCATAAAATGGCTAGAAAGATTATATTTGTTGTTGCTGAGTAGTAGGTTTGTGGATAAAAATTTCTGTTTCCTAATTTTAAAATATAAATGTGTGTTCTATATTTAGAAAAAAAAGTCATATCTTTGACAATTTAGTCATAACTGGGAATTTTTAAGAAATTGAGAGTTGCTGTTATTAAAGCATGAAGCAGTCTGGAAACTGCATTTCATAGCCACTTTAATTCTATAAAGTTACATTTTCATTCCAAGCAGAATTATTAATGGTACCATTCAAGGAGAATTCAGAAGATAATTCCCATCACTCAGAAATTTATAGTGCAGTGACATGTCAGACATTCCGATCCCCCCCCCGCCCTATTTTTTGGTAGAAATAATGAGCTTCATTTTTATAAGTAATATTTTTCCTATTAAAGTACATACTTTAGGGCTGGAGTTGTGGTTCAGAGGTAGAGCGCTCGTCTAGCATGAGTGAGGCACTGGGTTCGATCCTCAGGACCACATAAAACTAAAATAAAGGTATTGTATTCACCTACAACTAAAAAATAAATATTAAAAAAGTAAATTTGGGGGCTGGGGATGTGGCTTAAGCGGTAGCGTGCTCGCCTGGCATGCGTGCGAGCACCACATACAAACAAAGATGTTGTGTCCGCTGAAAACTAAAAAATAAATATTGAAATTCTCTCTCTCAAAAAAAAAAGTAAATTTTTACATATTTCTTTTTAAAAATTGATAGGAAAGTCCTGATCACTGGTAAAAAAAAAAAAAAAAATCTGCCTCAGATGTTTCTCCCCCTAGGTATTGACTTGTAGGGTCACAAGTGAGCCTTCCAAGGTGCGGCATGTGGGTTTTTTTTTTAATCAGCGATTGAACCCAGGGGCACTTAACCACTGAGCCACATCTCCAACTCTTTGTATATTTTATCTTGCCACAGGGTCTTGCTAAATTGCTGAGGCTGGCTTTGAACTTGTGATCCTTCTGCCTCAGCCTCCCAAACTGCTAGGATTATAGGCAAGAAGCACCGGCTTCATGTTTTTATCTCAATCTGGGTGGTGGCCACAGGGGTGTTCATGTAACAAAACTGATCAGGCTTTAAGTACATTTGTGGAATTTACTCTTAATTTTGTGTATAAGTTATACTTCAATTTATTTATTTATTTTTAAAATAAGTAAAAATGTGAACATGTTTCTCCCATCAGGGTTAGTGTTAGATTGTTTTTCTTGTATATTAAGAACATGGTGTCACATCTTTTTTTCTCTCCTGCTTTAGAAACACTTATCGCATGATTGAGCAAGACGACTTTGACATTAACACCAGGCTACATACGATCGTTAGGGGGGAAGATGAAGCAGCCATGGTGGAGTCAGTAGGCCTGGCCCTTGTGAAGCTACCAGATGTCCTTAATCGCTTGAAGCCTGATATCATGATTGTTCATGGCGACAGGTTTGATGCCTTGGCTCTGGCTACATCTGCTGCCTTGATGAACATCCGAATCCTTCACATTGAAGGAGGGGAAGTTAGTGGAACTATTGATGACTCTATCAGACATGCCATAACAAAACTGGCTCATTATCATGTGTGTTGCACCCGAAGTGCAGAGCAACATCTGATATCCATGTGTGAGGACCATGATCGCATCCTTCTGGCAGGCTGCCCTTCCTATGACAAACTTCTCTCAGCCAAGAACAAAGACTATATGAGCATTATTCGGATGTGGTTAGGTAAGTATGGCAGCCTTTATTTAGCCTAATGGCTGTTTTTTTTGTCAGGAAGCATTGGGTATGTTTCAGTTCTTTTGGTAACTCATGGTTAAACTATTTCATTAGCAATCAGAAAGCTAAGGCTTTAGTTCACAGATCTTGCCCTATGGTCTGACTTTACCTTTGAGATTCACCTTTTCTGTAAAATAGGCTTATTGGATTGAGCTTTTTAAAAAATATATGCTGTATTTATACAATGAAATGCTTTTATTTGTTATATATAATGTGGGTGAATATTTAGTTACCAGGACAATTTCTACTATATCAAAAAGAGGAAAAATCAAACTACAAAACTACATGTGAATATGATGCCATTTTTAGAAAAGTTATAAAAATGGAAAGGCTAGGAAGTATGTACACCAGGTCATTTCTAGTGTGGGATTACGGATGTTTTTATTTTTGTTTTCTGCATTTTGTAGTACAACGAAAAAAATTGTTATTTTTACTTTTAATGCTTTTCTAACAGTATTATTGGAATACTCAGGTGAGATAATAAATGTTCAAAGCAGATAGCAAACCAGAAGTACTTATTAATATAAGGGATTTTGATGATTATTATTAAAAAGCAAAAGTCATAGTTATAACATCAGAGTTTGTTATCTTTGCAAAACAAAGCCTTAAAGTGTTAAATTTTCAATTATCAATAATCTGGCTTCCTGGAAATTACCTTTTCTAATCAGAGGTAAAGAAAACAAACCTAAGAACAGAATATTAATTAGTTAATTTATAGTGAGAATGCCATGTAAGAATCAGGACTAATCACTTATTTTGGATCTTCCTTTTTCTAAAAGTAAATCTACTGAATAATGAAATAATGAATAGGTAATTGATTTGATGATTATGTAATCAAAGAAATTTGGTGTATTTTTTATCCAGATCACATTAGATTGGGAATGGAATTGGGCTTTCTCACTAGATAAATTATCCCTTCTATATATTTCTTATCCTTGGACAGATTTATAGCTATCAAAGAACCTGCCTAGATAATGGGGATAGAACAAACATCTGTCTCTTCACTCTCCTTTTCATATGCTTCTAAATGAACCCTCTTGCACTCTGTTCTAATCATACTTTGAGCTCTCTATATTCTGGGAAACCTTGTGTTACTGAAAAATTCTAGAGTAGAAAATAACCACTAGAAAGCAGAATGCAGCAAGAATTGCACTTATAAGATTTTAAGTCTTATTTGGGACCATTTAAGTAGTTCTTTATGAAAAGAAAGATGACAAAATAGCATTTATCAGGATATGGTCATGGAAATGAAGTAATTTTTCTCTAATGGGTGCTGTTGAACCTTGCAATCCTAGCTAAAGGGGTATGTCATAAATATATATAGCACCTTAACCTATAAGTCAACTTTGACAAAGTTATGTATTTGTTTTACTAATATCTTAAGTGATAATGGTTATAGATCCAGCTTGAAACTAGTCATAGCTTTGTTTATTAAACTAGTGAAAAAGAAAATACAGGACAAAGAGCCGGAGTTATCCACCCTTTGTAATGACACATTTTATAAAGCATGTACCTGCTTTTTGACAAGCAACTTTATTTATTTATTTTTATGTGGTGCTGAGGATTGAACCCAGTGCCTCCCACGTGTTAGTAAAGTGCTCTATCACTGAGCCACAACCCCAGCCCCTTAACAAGCAACTTTTTATGTTATTACTCTGCTTATAGGAAAATAAGGTTGGGTAGACAACTTATGCTGTGTGTAACCAGACCAATAGTATATGTAACAATCCTAATAAAAACATTAGCAAAGGGCTTGGGAGTGTAGCTCAATGGTGGAGTTTATATTTAGCATGCTTGAGGCCCTAGGTTTTATTCCTGGGTCCAATTAAAAAAAGAGAGAGAGAGAAGGAAAGAAAATTAGTACAGTTAAATAGACATTAAATTCCTAGTAACAAGGGCTGGGGTTGTAGCTTAGTTGTAAAGTGCTTGACTGGCATGTGCAAGGTCCTGGGTTTGATCCCCAGTACCAAAAAAAGAAAAAAATGTCCTAGTAACAAAAGACACATCATGGTAAATACAGGACTTACAATGCAAAACAAAATCATAGTACCTTAATAGAAAACGTAGGAAGGGCTAAGGCTGCTGAATTCAGACACAAATGGTTGCAGGTTGAGACACTGGTGCCAGCTTTGCACAAGATGTATCACTGCCAGGAATAAATAGCTCTGGCTCAGTGTCTTGTTTTCTTTCTCACAGATTTAAAAAAAGACATCTAGTTTTTGCTGTTTTGCCAATCTTTCAAAAGAAACTGCTTAAGTGGCTCTATATAAAACCTTAAAACGCAAAATGCAGTCTCACTGCACCTGTGTTGTACAGTTATTTTCTATGCACTACAAATGTTTCTTACACTTAAAGTAGAAGATAAATGAGAAGGATATTGTATTTCACTTCATAATTACTGCAGATTTTATGCCAAGTTTTTTTTTTTTTTTTTGCAAAAAATGGGATGGAGTCATTATGTGAAGTGTTTTCTTTTTAAAAAAATTGTGCCAGTATTACTTAGAAAACATTTATTATGGGCTGGGGATGTGGCTTAGTGATAAAATGCTTGCCTGACATCCCCAACACACACACACACACACACACACACAAATTAGTTTATTACTAAACTGCCTCTGGTGCAAGATTAGGAGGCAAAGAATACTTATGAATATATGTTAATGTGGCAACGATTATATGGTGAAATATGATATACTGGGTGTGGTGGCACATGCTTATAATCCAAGTTACTCAGGAGGCTAAAGAAGCAGGAAGATCCCAAGTTCTAGGCCAGCCTGGGCAACTTACACCCGGTCTCAAAATAAAATAAAAGGGCTGGGGATGTAGCTCAATTTTTGCCTATCATGTGCAAAGCCCTGGGTTCAATCCCCAGTACTGCCCTGTACCCACTCCCCACACAAATAGAAAAGTGGAAAGCTCTTTGGAGGCAGACTGCCAGCATTTTTCTTCTTGATCTTCTGCTTGGTCCTTGGTGGTAAATTGTAGCAATAAATTGTGTAAAACAATCCTGCACTGGACTACAGAAGCACCCTAACCTTCTCGCTTTCAAAGAAAATTTGCCCCCCAAAGCCCAAGGATCAGAGACTTGCCCTCTGTGTTTTCTTTTTTTAAAATATCTTTATTTATTTATTTTTATGTGGTGCTGAGGATTGAACCCAGGGCCCCACACGTGCGAGGCAGATGCTTTACCATTGAACTGCAGCTCCAGCCCCCACCTCTGTGTTTTCAAGACAGAGTATATGGGCAAACAACCAACGTGAAAAATGAGGGGTGAAGGGCCCTTGTGATGGGACTGTGTTCCTCCATAGCTGTTGCCTATTTCCATTAGTGTTCTTTGAATTTTGCCATGAAGAATCATGTATATATAACTCAATTACTACATTAAAGGCTAACATCTTCTCTCTATTTATTGGGCATGGATGAGTTAATTCACATTATGGAAACATGCCTTATACTGGTACAGATTAATCCTGTGGTTGGATTGCAGAAATATGTAGTATTTCCATATTCCTTATGGTGAACACACTTCTTTTATTGCCACTCCTTTTCCCATGTTTTTAATGTTTTACAGCAAGCACCCTGTGACACTGACATTAAGCATCTTTGAAATTGTTTTGAGACTTGTGTTAACTGTAATGTAAGCTGTAAGAGGCTGTTTTCATTATGATTTTTTTTTTTTTGAGACCAAGTCTCCCTGTGATACTCAGGCTGGTCTTGGATTTCTTGAGAAATCCTCCTGCTTCAGCCTCATGAGTAGCTTGGACTATAGGTGTACACTACACCCAGCTTTCCTCTGATCTTTTAAATGTTGTGTTTATAAAGTTTCCAGTAGATTCTTTTAGGCCTTTAGTATTTTTTCTTACTAAAATAAATAATAATAATAACCATTATACTTCTTCCTCCTCACAATTTAGAAGCTAATATAGGACCAATAAGTTCTCAAAATAAAAATTTGGAGCTAATATAGTATTTTAAATCAAATACTACTAAAGATTCTAACAGTAAAAATTCTCTTTTATCATTAAATCATAAAAATAAGTTAGTGGAGCTCATTTTCAGTTTTATGGGATAATACAGGCCCTATGATAAACGTTGTGTGTTGTATGGCATGGCACTATCAACCTAAGCCTTTTACATTTTAAATGCTTGCTGAGGAAAGCCTTGGTATCCCACACTAATGATGAATGAAGCCTTTCCAGCCCTTTCAGCAGAGTTAGAACACTTGTTGAATCTGGTGGGTGATGGTTTGGGGAGCACCTATGCATTGTCAAATATTCTTAATGATCATTCAACTTCTGAGTACCCCGATTTACAACATACTATTATTAATTAGCAATGCTGATTATTGATTAGAAACATTAGTTAGAAATTGGGAATGTTCACATTTTTTAGGGCTTTGGAATATTTTGGATTTTACAACAGTGAATTTCTAGTTCCTGCTATTTACACATATATTTTATATTTGTGGTAGCAAGAATCTGTAAAATGTTAAGTTTGATGGTTCCTTGTTGCTATTTAGTTCTTATCATTGATCCCAATATGGATGACCTGCTTAGAATGTGACAAACAGTTTTGATCTTAGAATTTTTAAAAGCAGACTTCAAGGTCTTACTTTTTAGAATTTGCTGCTTCTCTTAAGTTGCTTAACTAATGAAGCAATGTGGTTTGATTTTCTTTAAACAGGTGATGATGTAAAGTGTAAGGATTACATTGTTGCACTACAGCACCCTGTGACCACTGACATTAAGCATTCCATTAAAATGTTTGAATTAACATTGGATGCACTTATCTCATTTAACAAGCGGACCCTAGTACTGTTTCCAAATATTGATGCAGGTAATTGAACTTGAAAATGAAATCATGTCACCTACATTTTCAAATTTTGTTTCTGTTACCTCTTCTCTTGAATGTCTTCCTACTCACCCATGTTATCATTGAAGGCCATCTAGGCTGAAATGTATTTCACTTTTCAGAGAATTACCTATTTTGTTATAGATCAGAGTTGTGATTTTTTTTATCAAGTCTGGTAGAAATTTAATAAGAAAGAAGTAAATTCTTTTTTTTTTTTTTTAAAGAGAATTTTAACATTTATTTTAGTTTTCGGCAGACACAACATCTTTTTTGGTATGTGGTGCTGAGGATCGAACCCGGGCCGCACGCATGCCAGGCGAACGCGCTACCGCTTGAGCCATATCCCCAGCCCCAAGAAGTAAATTCTTAAGAAAAAAATCTAATGTCCACCTTACTCTCATGGTTAGTTTCTTTCCTCTAGTTTCAACCAATGAGAAATTCTTATAATTGATAGTCTCTTATAGACTTGAGGCATAAATATTAGAAAAGGAAAGTAATGATTCCACTGACTGTAGTAAAATTTCTATTATTACTCTTTCTTGTGTTCTTTCTTACCTATTTTGGTATACCTTAAAGTAATTTTGAGCTTAAGCAGTTTAGATCTGGAATTCTTAACCAGTTGATGCTTAAGCCTGCCCTCGGTAATCACCTGATGATGGATGGTACTGTGAACTTTTAGTGCTAGTGAGGCAAGTTAGCTGGGCATATGAGATATAAAGGAGAAGTACCCCAGCAGACCCCTACACTGACGGAATTTTCAAATACTTGCTATTGTTAGCTGACAATACTCAAATTGCTTTGCTTTTATGCTTTTTTTTTTTTTGGTAAAGGAAGCAGGACACAGCCAGGCATAGTGGCACATGCCTGTAATCCCAGCAAAGCAACTTGGGAGGCTGAGGCAGGAAGATTTCAAGTTCAAGACCAGCCTCAATAACTTAGCAAGGCCCTAAGCAACTTAGTAAGACTCTGTTTCAAAATAATAAAAGGACTGGGAATGCAACTCAGTGGTCAAGTCCCCTTGTGTTCAATTCTCAGTACCAAAAAGTAAAAGTAAAGGTCAGGACCCTTTATTTGCAATGCCAAAATATCATCATCTTGCTCTGAAAGAACTTTCTCTTAATGACCCTTTAATAATCTTTTCTGTTAGGGGAAACAAAATAAGTATTATGGGGTTAGGGATGTTGCTCAGTGGTAGAACACTTGACTAGCATACTTGAAGACCTCAGTGATGAAGTACCACTGGGTTCAATCCCCAGCACTACAAAAACAAAGAAATGAAATACAGTGTTAGTTGAAAAATAAGAATACTTAATCCAGATTTTGTCCAGGTAATATGCCAATATTTCAGAAAAATTCAATACTGATTCTTGTCTAATCCTTTAAATTCTACATAAACACATATAATATGTTTATGTATCTCTCAAATTGTATCTTCTGTTTGTAATATATTTTCCTGATTGTATATACTTTAGAATAGAGCTATTTTTCCTCTGTAAAAGGCCCCATGATTTAAAGGGTCATTTTTTTCTTTTTTTAATTTCTTTTTTTTTTTTTGGTGGGGTTCTTTTCTTTTTTGGAATTGGGGTTCAAACCGAGGGGCATTGTACCACTGAGCTACCAGCCTTTTTTATTATTTATTATTTTGTTATTTTTTATTATTTTTTATTTTGAGACAGAGTCTCGCTAAGTTGTATTTTATTTCTTTGTTTTCGTAGTGCTGGGGCTTGAATCCAGTGGTACTTCATCAAATTTGTAATCCTTCTGCCTCACCTCCAGAATTGCTGGGATTCTAGGCATGCATCACCTTGCCCAGCTCCATGGAGTTTTTGATAAGATGTACAAAGGGAACAATAAAGAAATAAGGATGAAGGCATCAATCATTTTTATCATTATCTGGTTTTGTGCCCAGTTGCCCATTGTAGGACTTTCTAGAAAATTGGACTAATGCTTGTGGTTTAAGCCTAAGGCCAAAGATAAGCCTTTAACTGATTCCAAGTCTGAATCTTAGAATAGTAGTACCTCTAGTGTGTCACATACTACGGTAATTACAGATGGTGACTGGAGTGCTCTGGCAACACTGTATGCAGAGAGAAGTGGCCAGGCTCACTCCTAAGAGTGAGACCCTGAGCCCATTGACCTACCTTGCTACATAGATAAAGTTAATATAAGAAGAGATGGCATGCATGGCTTCTGATAATCAGTGGTTCCTGTCCACTAGTAGGCATAGTGTGGTCACTGTCCTACATTCTAATCCGTCAGATGAGCAGTTTTCCCTCTATTGTCTAGAAGAGGATGAAGAGAAGCTTTTCCCTCAAGTATCTTTAAATTGTTTTAAAATCATGCATTTAAATAAAATATTGGGCTGGGTGTAGCTCAGTGGTAGAATGCTTGCTTAGCACATGCAAGGCCCTGAGTTCAATCTTCAGCACTCAAAAAAAAAAAAAAAAAAAAAAAAAGTTTTAAAAATGTCCACTATGGTATCAGAATCGATTTGAATTTTCTTGGAGTTTAGCCCACATAGGTGGGGGTGCTGTCCAGCTGACCTATTGTTACTGTAAATATGAGCAGAGTTGGGCAGAGGTTTTCTGATGGATGTCCCTGGGGTGTGAAGAATGAGACCTTTCCACTTAGGATCTCCAGATTAAGGGACATAGACTGTAGGCCTGGGTTTAGCTCTTAATTGTTGATTAAGGTAAAGATTTTTACTGCAGCATTAATAAAAGTATTTGCTTCATTGAATTTTGTTTCAAAAGCTCCAACTGTTTGAGTTCCAGGATGAATTGAAGTAGAGAGCTAGCCAGACATTTTAGATGCTCATCATTCCTGAAAAGACTTATGATTAAAATTATTATTTCCTCAATAACTGGTATGAGTTTTTATGGAGATTTCCTCAAGCGGGGGGCGGGAATACTTTCTAATGGAAATGGTTTCTTTGTCTCATATACCATTTAACAGTTGGTTCTTCTCATTTTCACAGGTAGCAAAGAGATGGTTCGAGTGATGCGGAAGAAGGGAATTGAGCATCATCCCAATTTTCGTGCAGTTAAACATGTCCCATTTGACCAGTTTATACAGCTGGTTGCGCATGCCGGTTGTATGATTGGGAATAGCAGCTGTGGGGTACGAGAGGTTGGTGCTTTTGGAACACCTGTGATCAACCTAGGAACACGTCAGATTGGAAGAGAAACAGGTGTTTACCTTTGCTTATATCTCAGTTGACTAGGCTTTCTATATTTCTGTGAGTTATCATAAGGTATGTTTATATTGGTGCTGGGCATATATTTTTGTGAGCAAGTGAGTGAATGAGGTGAATGACGAATAGCTTAAATCTGGAAATAGTCTATAAAAAGTACATAATGATTACCAAAATTTAAAGCTCTATTTATATTTTTATTGTCCTTGTAATATCAATTAGAGTTAAGTGGTTCTTAATTATGATCTTTGAAGGCTGTATTTGAGAATGTGGTTAAAAAAAAATGTGGTTGATGTGTCATGAGTATATGACACATACTGTACTACTCTTTCATACCATAGTCATGAGTCTGTTACACATAGTATACTACTCTTGTATCTTCTGGGCCTCATGAAATCTCTTCAATCAGTACTTTAAATTATGGCAATTCTATGAAAGATGCTCCTTAATAACTAAGGTATCAGGATTATTATTAATATGCTGAGCTAGATCCTGTTTTTAACATTAGTCCAAGTTCTAATACTATCTACATGCAACTATATATCTGCACTTAATGGTAAGACTTGTTCCAGCTCTGCTCTTTCTTCCATTCTTCATAATTGCTGCTCTTTCTTTTACCTTTAGATCATCTCTCATTCCAGAACATTACTTTGCTTCTCACTTCATAGAGAAAATAGAAGCTGTGAGATGGAAATTGTTTCAAATTCAGAAAATGCCATGCCATGTGCTAGACACTGGATTTGTTAGTAAATTAGACTAACAAGGACTGAGCTCTCATATAACTTAGATGTCATGGGAGGGGGGATGGATTATAAACAAAAATAAAAATATCAGGATTTCTATGTGTTATACTGACGGTTACACAAAGTAATGTGATGAGCTGTATTAGGTTGGTAAGGAAAGGTCTCTTTGAGGGAATGACACTTAAGCTGAGACCTGAATGACAAAGTCAGCTTTGTGAAGAGCAGGGAGAAGCAGCGGGAATAGCCAGTGTGATGCCCTAAGGTGGAAACAAGTTTGATGTATTTGAGAAACAGAAGCGTCAGTGTGGCCGTAAAGTAGTGGGCAAAAGGCAGAGAAGGGGGCAGACTTCTATAAGCCAAAGTACTGGCTTACAAAATTTGTAATTTTTTCTGAGTATCTTGGGAATCCAGTTAAGGGAGAGAATGGAATGTTATGGCTTGCACTTTGGAAAGATTACTGTGTCTGCTTGTGGAGAGAATGGAGTGTGATAGGGCAAGAGGTGAAGCAGGGAGACAGACAGGGACTATTTGTGCAGATGAGAGAGAATAGTGGCTTAGGCTAAATGGTAGTATTAGAGATGCAGAAGAATTGATTTGGGTTTTATTATAGTATTTGCTGATGCTTGGATGTGGGTTGTAAAAGAAAGGAATCATAGTCATGCCTAGATTTTTATATTGAGCAGTGGGGGTATATTTTCCAGATAAGGGAGTTCTGAGGGAGGAACAGATCTGGGGGAGGATGCAATTAAGAATTCTCTAATGGCTGTGTTATGTTCCCATGTCTATTAGATAACCACAGCAACTAAATAGTTCAGGGAGAATTAGGGGTAGAGATAGAAATTTGAAAGTCATTGGCATATGGATGGTTATGTAGTTAGGACATCAGTTGAGTTGCTATCACAGAAACTTCTATCTGGTGTTTCTCTACCTTTTGGTATAGAGTCTGTATTTTCACCATTAGGAAGGAGAAAAAGGGGGAAGATGCCCTTTCCTTTAAAGGCATGACTTAGAAGTTGCAAATACTTTTCACATTTACCAGGACTTAGTCACATGGCCATACTTAGCTAGTCTTTTGCTAGGTGATCAGATGCTAAAAATTCCATTTCTAGAGTAAAAAAGAAAGATATCAAAGATAATGGCATTCTGCCCTAAATGGTATTTAAAACCAAGGACTAAATGAAATGAACCAGGGAGAGTTGTCAGTAAGGCAGAGAATGGAGTGTAGGACAAACCTCTGGAGCTCTTCAACATTAAGAGTTTTGGTGAAGAGGAAAGGCTAGCAAGGAAAATTGAAAAGGGCAGGGTGTATTGGTACATACCAGCAACTTGGGAGGCTGATGCATGAGGATCCCAAGTTCAAGGCCAGTCTTAGAGACTTTGTGAGATTGTCTCAAAATTAAAATAAATAAAGAAATAAAAAGGGCTAGGGATGAAGCTGAGTGGTAAAGCACCCTTGGGTTCAATGCCCAGTACCAAAAACAAGGAAAGTGAGGGCTGGGGAGATAGCTCAGTTGGTAAAGTGCTTGCTTTACATGCAGAAGGCCCTGGGTTCAATCCCCAGCACCACAACACACACACACACACACACACACACACACACACCAAGAAAATTGAAAAGGAACTGCCAGTGAGAGATCAGAGGAAAATGAGAATATGATATCATAATGCCCAGAAAATAGTGTTTTGAGGAGGTGGTGGTGAATGCTGCTGAGAGTTAAGTATGATGTGAAAGGAGAATTGAACACTGGATTTGGCAATGTGGTCTCTTGGTCTGTGTCTTTCTGCCTCCACTCTTACATAAATGTATGTGCCCATTCAGGACTCCTTTCCTTCTTATTTTCCTTTATAGTGTGTGCATATGTGGTGATGATGAGGATAGCGGAGAAGGTGTGTGTCTCCTGCCTGTCCACTGCTCATCCTTCTAACTGTGCTCTAAGTCCCCTCCCCTCCTGCCTTCTCAGGGACTTGCCCATCAGGCATCCTTTCTCTTCCATGTATGTTTAACCTCCTCATCTTAAACTTGCGTTGGCCTCTCAAATATTAAAAGCAAAAACAATCTCTCCTGTGACCTACACTCCTCTCCACTCTTCCACTCCTCTTAGCCAAGCCTGTTGAAAACGTGACCATTCTTACTATATTCCCTTTCTCAAATTGGTTAGGAAATGGAGGAAGAGAAAGTGCTACCTGAATAGCTCACCGGCAATTGACTGGCCAGTCATACCTGACCAGCTGATTGAATGATTGGCTAAGGAGATGGAAGACAGGGCAGGTTGAGAGTGGGCTTGACAGATGACTAGGCAAGTGAGATGTGGATGCTGGATTAATCCACCTTATTTATTTCAATAAATAAACAAAACCATGATTTATTGTCTTTGGGAATAAAGAACCCTAGTGCCCTAAAATGTTTGATATATGGAAATCTTGCAGAATGCTCTGCAGTCCTTCTGAGTTTTAGGACTAAATTATGAATTCATTATACTGCCAACTTCTTTATTCTTTAGAGAGTCCCATGTCCAATTCATTAAAATGTGACATGATTTACCTAGGGGAGAATGTCCTTCATGTCCGGGATGCTGACACTCAAGACAAAATATTGCAAGCACTGCACCTTCAGTTTGGTAAACAATACCCTTGGTGAGTATACAACCTCTTTTTTTTTTTTTTTAGAGAGAGGGAGAAAGAATTTCAATATTTATTTTTCAGTTTTTGGCGTACACAACATCTTTGTTTGTATGTGGTTCTGAGGATCGAACCCCGGCCGCACGCATGCCAGGCGAGCGCGCTACTGCTTGAGCCACATCCCCAGCCCCCAACCTCTTTTTTAAAGTATTTTAAAAGGGGAAATAGTTCAGGCACCACTTTAAAGTTGCAGTGGACCAGTGTTTAGTCCCCATCTTAACAACTTTTCTTCTCATGCCCAGGGCTTCCTAGCTGCTGGTGAGATGGGAATGGCAGATATCTTACCCCTTAGTATTGTCCCAAGGGTTCTAATGTAGAATTTATTTTTTAAACTTGTCTCAGTTAATTATACAGTACTTTGGCTAGAAAATACTATTTTAACCTAATTTGACTTTCTAGAAATATTACAAAATAATGTAACTAATTTTCTTAAAAAATATTCTAGTCAGGGGCAGGGGTTGTGGTTCAGTGGTAGGGCAGTTGTCTAGCATGTGCGAGGCACTGGATTTTATTCTCAGCACTGCATATAAATAAATAAAATAAAAATCCACCAATAACTAAAAAAATATTAAAAAAAAATTCTAGGGCTGGGGGTTGTGGCTCAGTGATTGAGCGCTTGCTTTGCATTCAGGAGGCACTGGGTTCGAACCTCAGCACCACATAAATAAATAAAGATATTGTGTCTATCAAAAAAATTCTAGTTCAGAATTTTGATTAATTTTGGTTGTCCTATTTCAAATTGATGAATTTTCTCAGAAAGGTAAAGATAAAACTTCTAAAAAAGCAAGACAAAAATGCAGACACTTAGTTATTCTATTGCTGCAGAGATCCAGATGTCTTTTTATTTTATTTAGTTATGTATAATTATGATTTCCAGTTTTTTAATTGACAGATCACATTGTGAATCATCATGTCTTGTACATGATGCTTTGAAATTATGCCACACACACATTGCACAAATGTTATTTTATTTTGGTTTATGTATTTATAAATTATTTTTTGCAATGATGAGGATCAAACCCAGGGCCTCGTGAATTCTAGGCAAACACTATTCCTTTGAGGTACACTCCCTGACATGTTATTTTATTTTAAATTTTTTTTCTTTTTAGTTATACATGACAGTAGAATGTATTTTGACGTATATACATGTAGTATAACTTCCCATTCTTGTGGTTGTACATGATAAGAAGTTTCACATAGTGTATTCATATATGAACATAGGAAAGTTATACCTGATTATTCTACTGTCTTTCCCATTCCCATCTCCCCTCCATCCCCCCCATACCCCGCTGTCCAATCTGCATATCAGAGAGAACATTGGTCCTTTGTTTTTTTGGGGATTGCCTTATTTCACCTAGCATGGTAGCTTCCAGTTCCTCTATTTACTGGCAAATGCCATAATTTCATTCTTCTTTATGGCTGAGTAAATATTCCATTATGTATATATACCATCCAGAATGTTATTTTAAAAAGGAGCAACACAAACTATTTTTACCTGAACCTTCAGATTTCATTAAACCACACCCTCAACATCACTTAATGTATACAGTGAATTTAATTGTTTTGGATATTGTAGTTCAAAGATATATGGAGATGGAAATGCTGTTCCAAGGATTTTGAAGTTTCTCAAATCTATTGACCTTCAAGAGCCACTACAAAAGAAATTCTGCTTTCCTCCTGTGAAGGAGAATATCTCTCAAGATATCGACCATATTCTTGAAACTCTAAGTGCTTTGGCTGTTGATCTTGGTGGAACGAACCTCCGAGTTGCAATAGTCAGCATGAAGGTATACTCACTGCTCAGCTCTTAATTATGCATCCCATTTGAGTAATTGAGTTTTAAAATGTATAGTTGGAAGACAGGACTAGAAACATACAAGAGTGTGTAATCATTTGCCTATAGTACTGATTTTGAATCTATTACAATGTTTGTCTTGTTTATCAACTATTAACATTTCAAAGAAGTAAATTTTCAGGGAATTCAAGGTAGCAGACTTGAATGAACAATGGGTAGAAAAGACACTTTTAGGCATCAGAGAGGGCTTTTGCCACCCAGGAGACCTGAAAGTATCGGAGTAGTCACAGTGGAGTAGAGTGTGAAGTATGCTGATCACCATCTCCACCCAGCCAAGAACACGTGCATTTGCATGGGGTGAAAGAAGTTGCTTCTTCTCTCAGATATTGTCAGACAGATGGGTTCTCCACTTTGCATTTTTATAAGTATATTCTTTATTGAAGAGAGCATATCTTTATTAACTAGACATCAACACAGCATTGACAGGCTGAGAGTGCCTTCATGATCTCTGAATGACTTAATGAGGAAAAACCTTTGTTTGAAACATTATAAAGTTTTAGAAGTGCACAAGAAATAGCAAAGATTTTAAAAACAAAAATACAGGGAGCTTGTTAATATCATTAATCAAAAATACAGAAAAGCAAAACAAAACATACTTTTGCTAAGAGAAACTAAAAGGCCTCCCTTACACTTTTTTTTTTTTTAGTGCCAGGGATCAAACCCTGGACCTTGCACGTGCACGTTAGGCAAGTGCTCTATCATGGAGCTACACCACAGTCCCATAAACACTTAAAAAAAAAAAGTTAATAGAACAATATTTTCTTAATCTGAAAAGGATTTATTTCTTATCCATGGCCAGTATTCTTTGTGAAATTCTAGAGGCATTCCTGTTGAAATCAAGAAAAAAAATCTTTTGCAACATAATTTTAATATAATTCTGAAAATTACAAAGGGAAAAAATAAGGAATAGCAAAAATGGAGACTGCGGACAGAATAAAACAAAAATATTATTTAGACAATTTGAAGAAATCAGCTAGCTTATAGGGTTAATAAGATAAGTAACATGGTTGGATATTATGAAAAATATGTAAGTATCAATAATTTTCTATCTAGGTGAAATTGTAGACAAAGATTTGAATTTCCCTTTAGGTGGTGTTTGTTGACTCCCCTGCATATTCAGCATTACTTGGAAGCTTTAATAAAACACAGATGCCTGGCTCCTGCCCCAGACTAATTAAATTGGAATTTCTGGGGATGGGTGGACATATCAGTATTTGTTAAGAGTAGATTCTGATATATAGTGAGGTTGGGAAACACTCCTCTAGATTGCTTTAAATTTTTTTTTTAAATTTGTTCTTTTTAGTTATAAATGACAGTAGAATGTATTTTGACGTGTCATATATACATGAAATATAATTTCCCATTCTTATGGTTGTACATGATGTGGAGTTACACTGGTTGTGTATTCTTATATGAACACAGGAAAGTTATGTTTGATTCATTCTACTGTCTTTCCCATTCCCACACCCCAGGTTGATTTTTAATGACTGTTATTAGTAATAGTTTTAACCCTTATATTGATATGTAAAAATCCCTTAATAACAAAAGAATTTAAAGAGAAAAAGAGACTATTCAAAACAACTACTCCTGAAGAATAATCAAAACCAGAAAACTATGTGATGTACATAAAGAAAATTATAAAACTTTACTATAAAATATAAAGGCCTAAAAAAGTGTCCTTGGTGAAAGTACTGAATATTTCAAAAATGTCAGTAGTCCCCAAATTGGATTATAAATTTAATATAATTCTAGTCAATATTCCAATGGGATTTTGAAGTTGAATAAAATTATCATAAATCACAGTTTTTTTTTTTAAAGTTTAGCATTATTCTTAAATTAATACATAAGTGAGTTGGTGTGGCAGCACACGCCTATAATCCTAGCTACTCTGGAGGCTGAGGCAGGAGGATCATAAGTTCAAGGCCAGCCTGAGCAATTTAGTGTCCCTGTCTCAAAATAAAAAGGGCTGTGATGAAGACTTGGACAAAACACTAATATCGTTTCTAAGAGCTCAAGGATCTCTTCTTTGGGCATGACCCCACTACCCATTAAAGTGCCCATCTGAGTGAACTAAAAATTGTGTAGAAATTCCTGTTTGTTCCTGCTAACACTTGAAGATAGGGCTTCCATATGTAGGAAGCAGGAATCTAACTTCCAAAAGCAGCAATTAATTAATCCAGGTGGATTACACATAGACCAACCCACATCCTGCTTTTATAATTTGTATTTCCTTGACACTACTGAGCTTCTCATCACTTGTGTTATACTCTGTTTAGTCACTTCTATATAAAGTAAAGTTGAGTTTACATCACCTTGTTTCTTAGTGCAATAATATATTGCTGATGAAAACTTTTCCTTACCAATTACTTAGCATGCTGGAGGCCCTGGGTTCATTGCCAGTACCAAAAGAAAATAATAAAAATATACAAGTGAGATGAATTAAGAAAAAATATAAAAATAGGAACAAAAAATAGGAAGGATTATCCCTGTTTGGTCTTAAAACATCATAAAGCACAGTAATTTAAACAATGTGCTCAGCATGGAAATTATCCTGAGTAAATAGGATAAATTGGTTTCAATTGCAGGGGATGATTAAAATTCAAGTAGGATAACTATTTAGTTGCCCTAGAATTTAAACAAAAACATTGGGTCAATCAAAAAGAGTAAAATATGACCTTTTAGTGAATGAGATTCAGGTTAGCCAATGTTCACCTTAAGCTTAAAAAGGGGTCCATTTCATTGCCTGTGGAGTTGTTGCTTCAGCAACTTTGTATCAAGATGGATTCCCAAGAAAATACTTGGGCTTATTCCATGGCTGGTTGAAGCCAGACAAGGCTCTGTCCCCAATCATCTAAGTTTGCATCTAAGTCATCTAAGCCTGTGCTATAGCACTGTGTGATAGGCTCCTTAGCTAAGTGAGATAGATCTTATTGTTTTTTCTTTTGTAGGGTGAAATAGTTAAGAAGTATACTCAGTTCAATCCCAAAACCTATGAAGAGAGAATTAATTTAATCCTACAGATGTGTGTGGAAGCTGCAGCAGAAGCTGTAAAACTGAATTGCAGAATTTTGGGAGTAGGTAAGATGGTAAATTACAAATCCAAGAAATATTCATTTTAATGTACAGTCTACTGAGTTCTGATGTTTAACTGAACATCATGTTATGGTCTGCCTGTGTACAGATGGCTCTGGTCCTGTCTGTATACCCAAAGCATGGTGACTTCCTGGGATGCTGACAAGTATTATGGGAGAAGCACTGATGGTTCTGTAAATCTGTGGGGAGCTATAGATTTACTGTCTAATATTTATAAAACTGTCTAATATTTCCTTGTAGTCCTTGGCAATGTTTGTATTGAGATCTTGAGTGAATTAATGTGTGTGTGTGTGTTGATTTTTTTTGTAGTGCTGCTTTTATAATTTTTATTTCCTTGACACTACTGAGCTTCTCATCACTTGTGTTATACTCTGTTTAGTCACTTCTATATAAAGTAAAGTTGAGTTTACATCACCTTGTTTTTTAGTGCAATAATATATTGCTGATGAAAACTTTTCCTTAAATAATGCTTATAAATGTAGGCAAGCAGCTGTACCAATAAGCTACATCATCAGCTCTAATTTGTGTTCTGAGCTGAGAAAGTTGGCATGCCTTCCTAAGATTGCTAATCAGAATTATTTTCCTTGTGTTTGTGGTGGAGCTCAGGCATTTCCACAGGTGGCCGTGTAAATCCTCAGGAAGGGATTGTGCTGCATTCAACCAAACTGATACAAGAATGGAACTCTGTGGATCTCAGGACCCCACTCTCTGACACTTTGCATCTCCCCGTGTGGGTAGACAACGATGGCAATTGCGCTGCCATGGCAGAAAGGAAATTTGGCCAAGGAAAGGGACTGGAAAACTTTGTTACACTTATCACAGGCACAGGTAAGAGAGGAAGGGAAGGAGCTAGAATGTGTGTTGGAACTCATCTTCAACCTCAGCTAAGCAGTTACAACTCTGCCTTAGTCTTTGCTTCCAGCTTGAGTATGTCCTGAAGGTGAACCCAGGTGAGAGCTTAAGGCTTTCCCAGGTGTTTTCTAAGCATGTGCCCAGCACTAGTCTTGCCTATGGCCTTCTAAATTTCTAGGAACTTGTCATACATAGTCAGAGTTCTTATTCCCCCAAACTTCTCATTCTTCAGCTTTTCCTCCTGGTTTTTTAGTCTATTACATGTCTCGGCCGCTTTGTTCTAGGCACTAGAGACTAATACATTTTACCTTTAAATGCCTTTTACAAACACCTGTGTATAACCCCCCCTCAGCATTGAACAGTTCCCAGTTAGGTGAGAGATAAGGAAGCTCTTGGAACTGGTCTTCCATGGAACTACCAGGTAAGTCAAAACAACCACAATTTTTTGAGAACCAGTTGATTCTGCTTCCTCAGGTACTGGTATCTATATGCCAGAACTGGGAATGGGGCTGTTGTTCAAGGTCACTTCCAAGCTAGGGAGTGGGTGGGTCCAGGTTAAGTTAAATTAAAAATCAGACTTACTGAGATAAACTGTTTTCCTTCTTCCTTTCCATGTTGTAAATCTTTGGTTAAATTTCAGGAGTTGTAAAACAAGATTCTGACAGCCTTGCCCCCTTATTCATTGCTTAAGTGGCAGGATGGATTTTTGAAGTTCCCTACTTTTGTCATTTTCATTGATGTCCAAATTTGGTTTTCCTGTTGTTTTATTTTTAAATTTTATTTTTATTGTATATATTTAAGGGGAACAATTTTATTTTTTTAAATGAGGAAAGTAGATTCATCTAATGAAGTAGTTAGGTTAGAATATGCCTAATCTTAACACTTGTGTGTGCTTAAACTCTGCACTATATTACCTCTCCCTTTGAGGTCATGTACTTTAGCTCATATAGTTCCTCCCTTTTCTTGGATGTGGTTTTAGCTAACTTGGATACCATTTCCTAGTTCAGAGTAGTTAACAAGCTGTAAATCAGAGGGGTGGTGACAGATGGAAGGACAGCTCTTAAAAGCAGAGCTTTCTAAGCCAAGATCCCCGTATTCCTTAATAATTCTTAAACTCCATTCGAAAGATGATTGTTTATATTCATAACATTTGAATTGAATTTTTAGTTATAGCATCATCAAGAAGAGACAAAACCAGGGGCCAGGGTTGTGGCTCAGTGGTTGAGTGCTTGCCTAATATGCGTGAGGCACTGGGTTTGATCCCCGCCACCACATAAAAAAAATAAATGAATAAAAACAAATAAAATAAAGGTTAAGAGAGAGAGACAAAATCATATTCATATTCTCTGCTTCAGAGAAGCAGGTGGTGTGTGATATATTTTGGAATTTTTTTAATATTTATTTTTTTATTTATAGGTGGACACAATGTCTTATTTTACTTTATGTGGTGCTGAGGATCGAGTCCAGTGCTTCACACATGCTAGATGGGCACTCTACCTCTGACTCACAATCCCAGCCCAGATTTTTTTGATTTTTTCTTTATTGATGGTACTGAGGATTGAACTCAGGTCCTTATGCATGCAAGGCTATGAGCTATGTCCAACTGAGCTATGTCCCCAGCCCTATTTTGGATTGTTTTATCTTGGCTTTCCTCAAAGCAAAAGCATGAGTTGGGTATAGTGGTGGCACATACCTGTAATCCCAGATACTCAGGAGGCTGAGGAAGGAGGATCACAAGTTTGAGGCCAGCCTCAGCAACTTAGTAAAGCCCTATCTCAAAAAATAATAAGGACTTGGGATGTATTTGAGTGGCAGAACACCCTAGGTTCCATCCCCAGTACTGGGGTTAGGGGAGAAGCAGAGCCTGATAACAACCATTTGGGTATAGGTATTTTCTTTAGGAGATGAATCTGAGAAGCAGGAGGGAGTGGGAAAAGTGAAACACAGTAGGAGAAAAGCCATTAAAGGAAGCATTATCAAAGTGGCCTTAAGGGCAGTGGGGGTTGAAATCTCCCACAACTTGAAAAAGCCTATAGAGCAGAGTGCAGAACTGTCCACTTATAGATGCTGGCTCCTGTCTCACCTGGTGAGGGCTGCCTCTTGGCACTGTGCCTTCATGGCTGAGTGGGCTCTTACTGTGGTGTGGGAGGTGGCCATGGTGCGCAGAGACAGGCAGCGTGTGCTTGAAGGGGGTAAGCCATCAAAACTAGGTGAGCCAGGCGCCCTGAACGGTCTGCCATAGCTATGTTTGAAACTGGAGTGAATCAAGCAGATGTGACACAGGTATCCAAAGATCTGCTAAAAATATTTCCTTTCAAAATGCTGCCAAATAAAGTTTTGGTGCGTACTACATTTCAACTGTCTAGAAAAGCAAGCATTGGAAAACTTTGCTAAACCATTGAGGCATTGCCACATCATAGATTTTTGTCTCTTAATGCAGGAATTGGTGGTGGGATCATCCATCAGCATGAATTGATCCATGGAAGCTCCTTCTGTGCTGCAGAACTTGGCCACCTTGTTGTGTCTCTGGATGGGCCTGACTGTTCTTGCGGAAGCCATGGATGCATTGAAGCATATGCTTCCGGAATGGCCTTGCAGAGGGAAGCCAAAAAGCTACATGATGGTTGGTATCTTTCCCCTTAGGGATTAAGTAACCAAATAGTAGACAAGTATCCAAAGAGCTGAATACTAAAGCCAGGGCTTTTAACCTTTTCACTTCCTAGAGGAAGAGCAGGGCTTCCTCCTGATGTTCCACTGATGCTTGGCTCTGACCCAAATTAACACTCTCCCTCTCTAGGGGTAGAGGTGGACAGGGGCCTAGAGGTCCAAGACATAAGGGATGATTTCTTTTAGTTTTGTTTCTCAGCCATTAGCACAGGGTGGGTACATTTTAATTAAGCAAGAAATGAACATCTTACAGTTTTTGAACTGAGAGATCTCTTTGAATTAAAGCTGTTTCTAGACATGTTATGCAAGTCAGGATGGACAGATTCAGTTAATGTCATTATTACATATTGTGCTAAAGCCACTGAGCATTAAGACCAAGGAACACAAATGCAAGTAAGCAGGACACTGCAAGTGCCACTTCACCCTCTGCACAGGGAGGGAGTGCCAGGTGCCTTCCTGGGAGTTGAACATCAGAACCAGAGAGTTAATCAAGCGTGAGTGGTCAGGGGAGCTCTTCTAGGCATGAAAACAGTGGCGTGGGTGCATAAAGGGCAAGACTGGGCATAGTGTAGCAGGAGAAAAGCCATTAACAAACAGTATAGGAAAGACACAGACAGATCTGAATTTTAGATTCTTCACTAAACTCCTAACTTGGCAGTTGAATGGAGGATGGCTTTAGGTGGGACAGTTCTGGAGTGACTTTCAGTTTTCTGGTTGGACAGCTCAGGGGTGGGAATGTTGACTTGGTATAGGCATGTTAGAATACCGAGGTGCCGCAAGAAATCAAACGTGTTCAGAAGTGGGTCAGCAAGGCAAAATTATTCTGCAGAAGGGTGTGCCCTCAGAGGGAATCAGGAGAGCAGGCACACCAGGACAGCCAGTCCACCTGCTTTTATCCCTAATACAGCGCTCCCTCTTGCCCCTATTGGAGGAAGGGGGTTATGATCTATGGGATTAGATCTATTTTTAAAATTGGGGCAAGCAAAGGGAAGGACTGTAGTTAAAAATGCCTACAATTGGATCCAATTAAGGCTGAATACTATATTCTGAAAATGGACAAGATGATGGTTGGGTACCTGGAGGACATCCAGGTAGAAATGCTTATAAGGCAGCTGAACACTGGGATCTGTCACTCAGGAGGATGACTAAGCTAGAAAGAGGGACTGGAAATCGTCAATATGGAGGTGGTAGTTAAGCCTATGAATGAGACCAGGGAATGAGGCAAGCCAGAGTCAAGGATGGAATGCTGAGCAGCATCAGCATTGGAGGGGCAGGGAGAGGCGTGGGGGTGGGGGGAGCCAGAAAAGGGAAAACTTCATAGAACCAACCAAAAAAAGAGTGTTTCAGAGGGTGTAGTCAGTAATGTTAAGTGCTACTTATGAGAATTTTGAAAAAGTTCATTGGCTTTGGCCACAAGGACATCATTTGATGCCCTTACAATTGTGTGTTCATGTTTGAATGTTGGGTTTCATTTTCTCCCTAGAGAGCCTGTTTAAATGATTTTTTTTCCCCTGGTGAGGGTGAAACTTCCCTACCACAGATGTATTTTTTATGTTCCACATGTATATCTATACTTTATACATAAAATGAGGGAAGCCAAAAAGCTACATGATGGTTGGTATCTTTTTTTGCTTCAGAACCAATCTGTAAGCATGTACTGGTGGGACAGAAACCATGGGAATGGAAGTGAAGGTTTGGAATGCAGGAGAACAGGTGTGGAGTACCAGCCATAGAGTGTCTGAACAGGTGGGAAGAAATGAGTTGCAAAGCCAGGTAGAGGGCAAGAACAAAAATGTGCAAGCACTGATTGATTTGTAGGTGGGGGCAGACAAGTACAGGAATCCAGCCTGGTGGCATCTTTTATCAGAGAAGTAAGAAGTGTGGAAATGTATTGGTGAAGGTATAGAAGAACAATGAGAAAGTGAGAACTGGTAACTGCGAGGCTCAGGAAAGACAGGAGAAATCCATTGGTATCTAGGTAGTCGTCTGCATGATTGGGGATTTTCTTCCTTCAGAGCCTAGAATAATAGATTGGGCTGAAGATTGATCTGGATTGGTGACTGGCAGAAAGACAAAGACCACAAGTAATAGAAATCTCTACTGTTTATTTAGCATTTACTCTAGCCAGCACTGTTAAGTACTTTATTATCTCATTTGATCTCTGAAATGACCCTAAGTACTATTGCCCCAGTATTCTAGAAGGGAGAAATATATAGTGATGAAGTGACATGGGGAGGTCTACGCAGTTAGTAGTGGCAGAGCTGGAACCGCACCCAGGCCTGACTGCTCCGCAGTTACTGTGCCGTGCTGCCCTAGAACATTGGGCATTGAAGTAGTGTGGCACTGCATCTGGGGTAGATGAGGATGGAACTGAATTAAGGAGCCAGATCATTTGTGGGAACAGAATATTTTTAAGACTCCAGTATTAGAAGTGAAAAGCAAGGGAGCCAGAGGGCTAGAAGACTGTCATCACATTTGAGATTTTTCCCAGCTATAGAAGTTCTGGATTATGTATAGCCAGTTATCAAGAGGGCAGCAAAGGCTTTGGGGGCATTATATATGGATGTTTGTGAATAATAAAGTTTTGCATGATGTGTCCACGGGGCTGGGAATTGAACTCAGGGTCTTGTGCATGCTAGGCAAGTGCTCTACTACTGAGTTTCATCTTCAGCCCTGCAACTATAAACAGAAAGCACCTCACTCAGGGGCTTGCTGCCCATAGGCACATAAGCTTGGCCTCTCCCCAGGGCTGCCCACAGCTCACTAACAACTGCTTCTCCTCACTCTCTTCACTCGGCTCAGAGGACCTGCTCTTGGTGGAAGGGATGTCAGTGCCAAAAGATGAAGCCGTGGGTGCACTCCACCTCATCCAAGCTGCGAAACTTGGCAATGCGAAGGCCCAGAGCATCTTAAGAACAGGTGAGCCAATGGCTCCAGGCAGCCATGCCACAGGGAGTGTTCTCAGATACCAGGGTTCTGGCAGAGAACCCTCAGTTTCCCTCAGGGAACCAGTATTCTGCATTCTGTTCAGAGGTACTTTTCCTATTTTCTGAGGAAAAAAAAAAAAAGGAAATGTATTAAAGGCATTTGCCAGCAGCAGTACTTTTATAAATAGGTGTTTGGTTTTACAATTTTGATAATACTATAGGATAGAGAAATATCAAAGAGCAATAAGAAAAAGTATCACTTTAAAGTTTTACCATTCAGTCAGAGATACCAATTATTAGTATTTCTTTTGAGCCTTTCTATTCCTTTTCTGTTCATTTTTTACATAGTTGAGATTATATTCTACAGTATATGCCATTTTATTCTTTTTATGGAGACTCATTTTTCACTTCAAGATATCACATGATTTGGGCTGGGGTTGTGACTCAGTAGCAGAGTGCTTGACTAGCATGTGTGAGGCACTGGGTTTGATTCTCAGCACCACATATAAATAAATAAAAAATAAAAGTCCATTAAAAAAAAAAGATATCACATGATGTGGGGCTGGGGTTGTAGCTCAATGGTAGAGCACATACCTAGCATCTGTAAGGCACTGGGTTTGAATCTCAGCACCACATATAAAGAAAGAAAGAAAGAAAGAAAGGTCCATTAACAACTAAAAAATATTTAAAAAAAAAAGACATCGCATGATAGTTTTCATATTAAGAATAAGTCACAGGGCTGGGTGCAGTGGCACATACCTGTAATCCCAGCAGCTCGGGAGGCTGGGGCAGGAGGATCATGAGTTCAAAGCCAGCCTCAGCAACAGTGAGGCACTAAGCAACTCAGTGAGAACCTGTCTCTAAATAAAATACAATAGAGCTGGGGATGTGGCTCAGAGGTTGAGTGTCCCTGAGTTCAATCCCCCAGACCAAAAAGAATATATTAAAAAAAAAAAAGAATAAATCATGGGGAGTAAGGCTATAGCCCAGTTGGTAGAGTGCTTGCCTTGCATGCACAAGGCTCTGGGTTCAATCTCCAGCACCACATTAAAAAAAAAAAAAAAAAAAAAAGAATAAATCATGAGCAAGGTACAGTGGCACATGCCTATGAAGCTAGCAACTCGGGAGGTTGAGGCAGGACTGCAAGTTCAAGACCAGCCTCAGCTACTTAGTGAGACTCTGTCTCAACAACAACAAAAAGAATAAATCATGGCACACACCTATATTTCCAGCTACTTGGGAGGCTGAGGCAGGAGGATCGGTTGAGCCCTGGAGTTCAGAGCCAGCCTGGGCCACATAACAAGATCTCTCTCTCTCTTAAAAAAAGAATAATTCATGAACAGCTATTAAAATATTGCTCCCCATTACTTAGAATGAATATACTTTACCATTACTGGCCACTGGCTCTTTCCTACCTTCTTCCTTGGTGTTTTTAGTTTAGTACCCCAAAACTCATTTTTGTTTTCCTGTAGCTGGAACAGCTCTTGGTCTTGGGGTCGTGAACATCCTCCACACCATGAATCCTTCCCTCGTGATCCTCTCTGGAGTACTGGCCAGTCACTATATCCACATCGTCAAGGATGTCATTCGCCAGCAAGCCTTGTCCTCGGTGCAGGATGTGGATGTGGTGGTTTCAGATTTAGTTGACCCTGCCCTGCTTGGTGCTGCCAGCATGGTTCTGGACTATACAACTCGAAGGATCCACTAGATTCCCAGGAGTGGACATGGGCCGAGACTCAAGAACTTCTTAGTGGAATCAAGTTCTTTTCTTTTAGATGAACATTTCTTACACAGCAAATTTAGTATTTTATTGCAGCGGACACTGGCAGAGAGTGCTTTTGCTTTTCGTCTCTTTTAAATTTATCTTTCCTGTGCCCATTTTTGTAGATGCTGCTCTTTCTGATGTTTTCCTACTAGGGGTCATTTTAGGAGAAGCCTGTAAGTTCCAATCACAACCTCTTGTGCTAAAAGGAGCTACAATAATAGACCAGGGAGCCTTAGGACTCTGCTTACTAATGTACCACCCAGACCTTGCAGACCTACTTTGGATGAGAACTTCATATGTGTGGGTTAATAACTCTTTATCTAACCCCAAACTCGGAGAATAGAAAGGGATCCAGTCAGGGAACAGAAGAGTCTTACCAGGAAAAGCTTACCTGAACTTTTTAAAAATAGCTTTGTTGAAGTATTTTTTAAAGTGTACAATTTGATAAGCTTTGTCTTATGTATATACTTATGAAACCATGACCACAATAAAGACATTGGACATGGTGGGCATGCTGGTGCACACCTATAATCCCAGCCCTCAGGAGGCTGAGGGAAGAGGCTTGCAGGTTTGAAGCCAGCCTTGGCAAGAGATTCTTGCCTGTCTCAAAGTTGTTTTTTTTTTAAAGTGGTAGAGCACTTTCCTAACATGTGCCAGGCTCTGGGTACAATAATTCCCATTACTGAAAAAAACAAACAAACCCATAGACATTGGACATATCAGTCACCTCCAAATGTTTTTGCTGAAAGATGTTGTTATACTAGCAGCACTTATAGGAGCTTGATTTAGACCAGGGATCTGGGCTGAGGGTGTAGCTCAGTGGTAGTACTCAGTAGTGCTCTTGCCTACAAATGTGCAAGGCCCTGAGTTTGATTCCCAGCACTGCAAAAACAAACAAAAGACCAGAAGTCTGGCTTTAGTGACCTTGTCTTCATCTTCTTAGAGACCACTAAGAAGCCACTAGGACTTAAGAGCCTCTGAAAGGAGATTATCCCCAAAAGGATCTTTGCTCCTGACAGCAAATAATTCTTTCTATAGCTTTTCACACTGCTTTGCATATGACCCCCAAGTGTCTATGAAGGCAGAGTTTATAGGTGCAATTCCTACAGCCCAGAGCCATGAACCCAGATTTTGACTAAGAACCTGTGGAAAATTACAAAAGTACAAAATGTAAATGAATGGAAAAATAAAAAGGGTCAACCTGTAAGAAATACTTCCAGCCACCACACTTATTTATTAAGTGCCTATTGTGTATCAAGTTCTGAACTAGGTGCTTCATATGTATTATTCTAAATCCTTACAACCTGTGAAGTAGTTATTTGAATTCTCATTCTGTAGAACCCAAAACTTAAGTGTTTTTAAGTGATATTATCTAAAGCCATGGAGTTAGTGAATCTTTTTTTTTTTTTGGTGGTGCTGGAGATTGAACCCAGGGCCTTGTGTGTGCATGGCAAGCACTCTACCAGCTGAGCTATGCCCCCCAGTTAGTGAATCTTAGATAAGCTTGATAAGGTTTGATCCCAGGTCCTGGTGTCTTTTTTTTTTGCTAAGTTGCACAACTTCTCATTTCAAAATGCTGATATATTACTCTAGGTTATCAGAAGCTTTTTTTTTTTGTTTTGTTTTTAGTTGTAGATGGACATAATACCTTTATTTTATTTTTATGTGATCCTGAGGATTGAACCCAGTGTCTCCCACATGCTAGGCAAGCGCTCTACCACTGAGCTACAACCCCAGTGGTTATCAAAAGCTTTAATAAGAATATCTGATTTGCAAATGACTGTTTATTTTATTTTTTTCCTTTACCAGTGAGCTATATCCCCAGCCTTTTTATTTTTGAGACCAGATCTTAACTAGGTTGCTGAGATTGGCCTCAAACTTGTGATCCTCTTGCCTTAGCCTCCCGAGTTGGTGGGATTAGAGGCATGCACCACTGAGCCTGGCTCGATTCATTCTTGACCCTCTCAGTTGTGAATTTAATAAAATATTCCTCTCTGCTCTGATAATCTCGCCAGTACAGTATTTGGTCTAGTGACAGGATTTTATGAGTACTTGTAGATAATCAAAAAAACATGCATATATTTTTCAGATTGTTTTTTATTTTACAAAAGCCTGAAAGTTTCTACAATGTATTGCTTCAGTAACAAAATACAAACAAAACCTAAGGAATCAATATCACATTTGAACAACTTCCTTCCTGGTGGGTTGATGTGAAAAAGATAGCTTGGCTGATTCCTAGAACTCTATACCAGCCCTTAAACAATCTCTAGGGCCTGGTTACTGTTCAGACATTCCAGGGTGGCTCAGGCGCATCAATGTCTGGGTGAGATGGTGTGCTGCAAAGGGGACATCAGTGTTTCTTGGTTAAAACCACGATCAGTGGACACCAAACAACTGCACTGCTACCAAGTTTCATGCCAAATATTTGAAAGGATGGTACTGAATCAAAAACTAAATCTTTTAAGTCTTTATTAAATTCATGGAAAGACTAATATATTCTGACATAAATTATTACATGTTTAAATAATCACATCTTAATTTATTTTAATGTATATATTTTTATGTTACTGTTCTGAGTCAAATTCTAAGGAAAAAATACATTTCTTTGTTGATATCTTAACACGGTTGTGTTGTTTTGTTCTTAACTCACTAGCTAAAAGCATTTCCCTTCCTAGAAGAGACTTATACTGTTGCTTTTTTTTAAAGCTTATATAACTTAAAGCAACTAATATTGTTTTCTGAACAACAACAAAAAGCCTATTAATAGAAAGCATTATTATATAACATTTAAAAGTTGATATAAAAAAGCAAAGTTGCACACGGGCACAGTGGTGCATGCCTGTAATCACAGTGAGTTGGGAGACTGAGGTAGGAGGATCACAAGTTTGAGGTCAGCCTAGGCAATTTAGTGAGACCCTGTCTCATAATAAAAAGAACTGGGAGTAAACTCAATGTTAAAGCGCACGGGGTTCAATCCTCAGTACTAGGAAAAAATTAAAAAGCAAAGTTGCCCCAATAAAGAGGTTGGCAAGTAAACGTTGAGCACCCACTTGAATCTCCCCATGCCAGCTACACAGGCATTAGAAACAACTCACGATCACCGTGCAACAACATTTAAAAGATCTGAAACCAACAGTAACTGTTTTCTCTCATGGTTCTGTGGGTTGGGAATTTGGAAAAGGCTTTGCTAGGTAGGTCTGGCTGAGTGGCCTGCACCTGTAGTTAAGACAGGGGCTGCAGCTAGAATAGTGGGCTGGGCTGCTGGATATCTAGAAACTGGCCAGGCATTTCTCTTTGCAAACAGTTATGGGGTCTCTCAAGTGGTCTTTGTAGGCATACTTTGGGCTTCACAGTGGTAAAGATTTTTTTATAGTGGCTGAGGGCTCCCAGTTAGTGTGTTCCAAATCAGCCATAAGCTGCATTACCTTTTACGATAGCCTGGGAAGTCATAAAGCATCACTTTTGTCATTATCCAATTACCTCTTGATCTGTACAATGGCACAGATTTTGTTTACTTTTTATATTATTGTATTTTGGGTACTGGGGATTGAATGCAGGAGTGCTTTACCACTGAGCTACATCCCCAGCCCTTTTTGAGACAGGGTCTCACTAAGTTGCTGAGGCTAGCCTCAAACTTGAGATCCTCCTACCTTAACCTCCTGAGTCACTGGAATGACAGGTGTGCACCACCATGCCCAGTTTTTTACATCTTAAAGTTGCCATATTCCCTGTGTGGTAGGTAGGACTGGGCCATATAATGGCTCAAAAACAATATAAAAAAAACTAAGCTGTACTAGGTAGAGGGCCAAAGCAGTTCAGGGGAGGGAATATGTGAAAGCACTGTGGAAGAGAGGCCTTTGAACTGCTGCTTAAATTGAACTCTTGACATCGTGAATGGCATTACAAAGATCTAGTAGTAACAAATGGTTTGTCAGCAACAGGGATTGCTTGAGTGCAATCAGAGGTGGCTCAAGAAGAGGAATGAAGAAAAGGGCCAGAAATGGGCACCAGATCAAGGAAAGCCTACCTGAGGAGGAGCAAGAAAGGCAAGTAATGAATGTTCCTCTCCCATCCACACGTAATTATGCACTGGGGAGTTGATGGAGTTTCTTGGAAATGGCAAGACCTAACCCCCTTCTTGGGTATGGTGTTACAGGAGTTTGCCTCTATCTCCAATTTAGAAATAACAGATGGGGCTGGGGTTGTGGCTCAGGAGTAGAGTGCTCACCTAGCACATCCAAGACCCTGGGTTCGATCCTCAGCACCACATAAAAATAAATAAAATAAAGGTATTGTGTCCATCTACAACTAAAAAAAAAAGAAAAAACAGATGACTATATGGAAAAGTTATTTTTTTTAAAAAAAGGTAGGGGTGTCTTATGAAAATAGAAGGGAGGGAGGTACTAAGGAATGAAATTGACCAAATTATATTGTTCTACTGTGTGAATATATAACAATGAATCCCACTAAATATAATTATAATGTACCAATTAAATATCTTGAAAAAAGTTACTAAAAGATGGCTTTACTAATTGCTTAGAATATCAACTAAAAGGCACCATATTATAGCAGGTTCTGCAGGTAGATGATGAATGTGTTCAGCACAGTCTCCTAGAAGCACCTGTTGTAAAGATCAGCAAGGTTCTAGAGAGCTTTCTGAGATAATGGAAATGTTCCATGACCTACACTGTCTAATTTGGATGCCACCTACCCACACTTGGCTAATGAGCATATGAAATGTGACTAGGGCTAAAAATATATTTTTAACTAAATAGCTACATGTGCCCCGTGAGTACAGTACTGGACAGCCCAGGTCTAGATGAAGAATTTTACACAAGAACTATGAATCAAGTGCCTTAGGATAGCACAGGCCCCACCATATGCTACGGAATTAAGGAATGGTGCTAGCCACACATTCGTGCTATCCTGGCTCAGGTTTACTGGCTGATCCAAAGTGTATGAATATTCAGGACCCTAAACTAAGGGATGGTGACAAGAACCCATCTAGAAAAAAATGTCTGTTGGTGAGATGATTCAGAGCTATGTGTTAGGTAAGCAATAAAGGGTTAATTTTTAATTATAGAATTCCCTTTTCAAATGAAAATTTTAGCCAGCAGTGGCACATGCTTATAATCTTAGTGACTCAGGAGGGAGGTTGAAGCAGGAGGATTACAAGTTCAAGGCCAACCTGCACAACTCAGCAAAGACCCTATCTCAAACTAAGTACAAAAAGGGCTACGAATGTAGTTCAATGGTACAGTGCCCTGGGTGCAATTCCCAGCACTACAAGAAAAAAGAAAATTTCCAAGAATTCCACAGCAGGAGAAACTTGGAGCTATTTTATTAAGGCAAAGTTAAGTGCCCAATGGCAATTCCTACTCAGTCCTTAAAATGATAAAAGGGAATTCCTAATTCCTCATCCGTGCAAGCCTAACTCCAAACTGTAGCACATCTTGAGGTCAATAAAGAAGCTTCATGTATATTGTTTGAAACAGAAATTTATTCTCAGAATAATGCACAAAAGCACAGGTTGAGGCTACTGTTGGGAGTTTCCCTCCCTTCCTCTTCCTCCTCCCCCCTCCTCTCTGAATGCCAGGGAGAACACAGTTGAAGGAAACATGCAATCACAAACAATGATCAACTCTAAAGACAAAAGGTTTGGTCCAAAAGAACTCAACATAATTAATCCAATTACTGTGAACAGCTTCACTGAGTAGGATTAAGATATTGCAGATGTAGTGTTTCCACAGGTGGCTCTTCAGTGCACCAGGGGGGCCTGCTTGAGGGAGATGAGGACTGAGCGCATGCGGGAAACATCTTTGGCCTGCTTGCTGGACTTGGGATTAAAGTCACACAGCCGGGCCACCCGCTCCCACTCAGTGCCTGGGGACGACTCATCAATGTCATTTACAAAGGCTTCTTCTGCTGCCCTGGAAGCAACAACAAAATATGTTGGTTTAAGGCAGAAACCCCTTTGAGCAACCTGGCAGCTGTCCTGCTACAGAAAAGTGACTGTCTCTTCATCCCTAACTCAGTGGCATTCTGGTTTACCCAAGAGTAACTACCCCTGGCCCAGGTGAGACTCAGGGGCAGACAATGTTCAGCACTCCTAGGCACGGGGTGCCCAGGCTCCTGTGTAAAATGGTGGAATACAGGTGTTTGGTTCAGGGCTCACTGTCTCTCTGTCTGGCTGTCTCTCATCATAAGGAGCATTATAAAAGCAAGTCCTTGGCCAGCTAAGCACTGCTTTTATTAACCAGAACAAAGCAGCAGGCTTATCAAGAACTTGAAGAGTAGCTTATGCTGGGCTGTACCGAGTTTCAAGGAAATTTTGAGACTTCTAAAAAGCCCACAGGTCATTGCACAATAACCTCTAGATTTATTCCTACGGCTGGAGAGAAACAGGGCAGATCAAAAGGAATTCAAGACAAAGCTCCCATGCTAGCAGGCACTAGAAACTAAAGCCATTCTGGAAGGGGGTTTGTTAGGACATTCTTCAGCCAAAGTTTGCCATTTTCTCTCCAGCCAGGTGCCTGGGGCCACTCAGGACACACACTGGCAGGAGAGCCAAGGTTAGCTGCTTTTTGGCAGGATGCTGTTCCAACATTCTTTTATATCAAGGTCAGCCCATCCCCAACTGGGAACTAACTGGTGGGGGCTATAGCTCAAAGAACAGTGGTAAGAGGCAGGAAGACACAATATATTCATCTACTCCAACAAGCATCACGGGCAAAGCAAAAGCAATGGAGATGACCGGTCTGTGGGGACAGAGGGGTGGCACTATCACAGGGATGGCTGTGGCAAACACCGCTGAAGCCCAGAGCCACTACAACACTGCGACTTCATGGCACACACAGTTAGGGGCAGTGAGAAAGGTTTACTTAACTGTTCTAGGCTGTAGCAAGGATGGTTTATGTTTGTGCTTAAAGGTGAAGAGAAGAAAAGAAACAAGGAGAGAAACTTTAGGTCAGATATAGAAAATGAGAATGAGCTCAATGCAGATGGTCAGTAAGCTAGACATGCCCTTGCCACTCTTACTATGCTTGGGAACGTGCAGCTGGCTTTGATGGGCCACCCTGCTGCCCAGCAAAACCAGACTCGACCTTTCCAGTCTCCATTTCTACTCCAGAGAGAATGTGCAAAAGTCAAATCAAACACCACCTGTAAATCCAGCATTTCACAAGTCTCATTGCAAATGCACCATCGGGGGCCCAGGAAACCTAGTTCTGTCTTCTAATGAAGTGACTATCTCAAGGTCATGAACCAGGTTCTATAGACCTCAGCCTGCCACCCATCTTCTACAGGCTCTTCTCTATTCCACCCTTGTCCCCTATATAAAAAAGTGGTCCTAATTTTTAAGGAGGAAACAGAACTGTTTCCAGGTCTTCTGCAGTACTGCTTTGATGACCTGAATCCTTAAAAATCTTCCAGGAATGATGCAGTATGGGGGAGAAAAGCTGAAGTGGCCCATATCAGACAGCTTCAGTTATCTTGACCTCAAAGCTGGTCACTAAATAGAATTTCTGACATGTGAGACTACAGAGAAACAATGACAGACACCCATCAGAGACAATCCCCTCTGCGCTGAATTCCTCTGTCTGAGGAATAGGCAGCGGGCCTATTATGTGAAGGACTCAGTATAGAAATGCAGATACCCCACTGCTACTCACTGGGGCTCCTAATCTGGGATTTTCACCTGCTCCCAGGTGGGAGACTTCTCCTTCCCACCTGGGGACAGACAGGCAATAGGAGCTTGAAAGTGGCAGTGGTGGTAACAACAGCAAGAGGTCAGAGTCCACCCCAAGTCCCAAACCTGTCCCTGACAAGATCATGAAGGACCTGTATTTTTCAAAGGGAATTAACTCGCTTCCCTCCAAAACCCCAAATATGAAAAATGGCCATCAGAGGGTGCAGGGAGTCACAATTCTGCAAGATTAGCAATGGATCATACCCCAGTTTATCAACACTCAGGCAGTCCCCACAGTGCCAATTTGAAATATTTTAAAAAGCAAAGCAACTTGTGACATAAAAGGAACATTAACTCTAAACAAAAGGTAGAAAGAATCAAAACAAGAAAAGGAATTAGTTTTGCAACATACACATAACCAATCACGTCAGCGAAGGGTTGTTTGTAGAAAGCTTCATCTGCCACCCTAGACAGCAAGAAGTCCAAAAGGCAGGCAAGCAGGCAGGAAAAAAGAGAGAACATTGAGAAGCAGAAACATCTAAAATCCACAATAGAGGTGCAACTGGGCTCTAGGGAGCTGCTCCTAAGGCTTCATCCTAATCCCCAGGAGGTTTCCAGCATGGGGCTCCTCCCAGAGTGAGCACAGCAGCTTCAGTTCTGGGGCTGCCCCAGCAACATTTATTAAGCATCATTTGGGATAAGTCCTTTCACATATTATTATGTTGATTCAATTCTCAATAACCTATGTGCCACTGAGTGCTCTCACCCCACTTTAAGATGAGTTAACTGAGGCTGAGAGAAGTGATTTGCTCACCTGCAGCACAGTGGCAGGGTTCAGAACTCACAGCCAAGGCAGCCTGGGTTCTTTTCACTGTACAGTAAAGCTGCTTCCCAGCTTGTGTATGCTCAGAAAGCTATGCCACCTTTCTGCCAGTCTCAGTAAAATGTCACTGGTCATGAACAAGACCATGCACCAGATCTACTCAGTCACAAAGACTTAATCCCAAATCCAGGAATATCCAACCATTTTTTGCCACACTGGCTGGGTGGAATACATTTTCAATTTCATGGGAACACACATCATCATTTCAAAAGTCCTGTCTCAGAGAAAAAGCAGCTGGAGGCAAGTGGTCTGCTGGAAGGAACACTAGTCTCGGGTCCTGGGATCTGTCCCTTGCTAAGGCTGTCCCGGAGCAAGGCTCTTTGCTCCAGAAGCTGGTGCATTTCTATGCCAGACCTAACTGGTTTTGATGAAGTACGATCCAGAATCCAGAACCTCATCCCTCCTTAACTCATGCTGACGGGCAAGTCGATCAACAGGGCAGGGGTCTGAGATAAGAAAGAAGGGGGCATACTGGGTAGAGGTAGGTTAACTTCTGGATCTAGCCACCTCACCCACTGTGGCAGGCTGGGAATTTTCTTTAAGGAGTCTTGGCCCATCCTTTGCCAGGTCAATTTAGAGTGGGCAAATGAAAGGGGCATTTTTAAAGGATAATCATGCCTAGTCATTAACCTAAGTACACTTATTTATTTGAAGGCAAAATCTAGTAATTTTAATTTCAGTTTATTTTTAAACTCACACATACCCTTCTGTCTTTCCCATTTTGGTTTATACATAAGAGGTATTTTGTGGAAATTCAGAGAAAGCAAAAAGAGCAGACTGATTGTAAAAATGACTCAGCAGGGAAGCAGAGAGCTGTTAGTGGGCTGAGTGAATGGGAGGACAGGGCAACACAGGGCAGCTGTAAACTCGCATCCTTTTATTTTACACAAAGGGCTCAACGAAAATTAATTCCAACTGCCACTTGCTCCTAATGGAAGAGAATAAAGGTTTTATGATTCCTGTCAAGGGATCACTGCAACAACAAAAGGCTTGATGTCAGTAGCCCCAAGACTAAAGAGCCAGTCAGTGACAAGCACAGCCCCTGAAGAACAAACAGGAAACTATATACCAAGTGCAGACAGCCACACCTGTTTGCTCTTCACTCAGTAAGAGGGATCTGAAAGTGGCAACTGCAAGCCTCAGCAAGGTGGGGCTTAGGGAAGCCAGGGGAAGGGAAGGAGGAGGATTCCTGACTACTGGACAAGCTCCCAGAAGCCTAAATACAATACAGAACTTCATTCTATAAATAGCCCCAAAATGGGCATGGAAAATGTGTCACTGAGAATGCACTATGGAGAATCATGGATCCTCCAAACCTTTTTAAGCCTCAGAAGAGCTGAAAAGTCTCGGCACAAAAGCCACCTGTGGCAGGGGGAAAAGTTTCTCTTCTGGTTTGGAAAAGAACATGTTTTTGAGTTTTTCTCCATAAGAGAACTACAGAAAACAGTCAATGCTTTGACTTGACTCCTCCAGAAAGGGAATTCCTTTCTGGCAGGCTGTCACTGAATTATTCACGTGCTTGTATAGTGATATTTAGGCCCTGACTTGGGATAAAAAGGGAGATGCAGTCTAGGGACTAAAAGGCAACAGATTCTGTGTGCAGGGCAAGGACCCCACCTGCCTACTGCCTGCCCAGCCCCCCATCCCCTAGCACAGGGCCTTGGCCTGGATATGCTCCCAATGCCTTGGCAACTGAGTAGGTAAGGGCAACTTAAGAGAAGGGGAACTAAGGACACACAATTAACTAGATGTCTTTCTATTTCCATACCCCACTTTCAAATTCTGCTTTTCTGCCTTATTTCTGGGGTCCCCTTACATTCAGGTGCTGCAGGAGTCACCCATGGAGAATGATACTTGCTTGAAATAAACACCCCATTTTCTTTTCTAAAAATATTCAATATTTACATACAGACAGACAACAGGGAAGATGAGTCATTTTGTATACACTAATAACACCTATTCCTTTAGACTCTAAAATGTGGAGGCAAACATGGATGGGGAAACTCAGCAATATTAGACTCTCCTCCAGGGGCAGTTATATGACATCGGAAGAAGTCTCCCATGTTCTTAAACAGCTGCCACCTCTACCCTCTGACAAACACTGGAATGATGTGTGAAAATCATCCCTTCTGTCCTAGGACCCTGGTGACAGTGGCTAGCACTTCTCTAGTTTTACATAAGCAGGTTCAGGCCTGTGCTGCAGTTTCTGAGGTAAATACCTGCTTTCTAAACAGTTCCATGTGCTCAGTGTGGAGTGGGTCAGTCCTTTCTCCTCTCTGGAACTTGAGAGGTAAATCTGAGAACAGCCAACATAACATTCTACAATTCCAAGAAAGACACTACAGCCCTATCTCCAAGCCTGGAGAGATCCACCATATATATATATATATATATGAATGACTACAAGAGCACCTAATTCTATACATAGAGAGGAAGCCCTTTCTTTTCAGAGTTCAGCAAAATTGCCTTGAAGAAATTTCTGCAATAAGAAGCCACTTTCTAACATGTTCATCAAGTTTGAAAATCTGTGTGTCAAGTTGCTGAAGGTTCACAGACCCTGCACAGGGAAGGGCAGCATATTCTGGCAAGTATTTCAGAGCAGACCTGAGTTCTGAGGCAGCTTGCTGGGGAACATAACTGCATCCACTCATCTTTCTTTACAGATCTGGACTTGCACCTGGAGCGGGAGGTGGCAATCATCTTGAGTAAGCACAGGGTAAAGGAGACCAGAGATGTCAGAACTTCATGCTGACCACAAACACAACAGCAGCCCTCGGTAGGCTGGATTGCAGCCATCACCTCTAGCAACTAGACACACAGACCATTGTTGCCACAAAATTTCAAATGGAACCCGACAAGCACTCTGAGTATGTATCCCCCTAAGGAAGGTGACCAGGAAAGAGCTATGGCATCTACTGGAGAGCTGATAGAACCAAGGATGACCAAAGGGATTCAAAGAATGAAGGAAGGGCTGGCTCTATGAAAGAAAGTGGCCCTCCATTCTGACACAGTTGCACCACAACAGCATTTGCTGCTGGCAAAACAGTTAGTCATGCCCCCCCTCACCCACTTCCCGGCAGATTTTACTGAATACAGCTGCCAGAGATAAAGGCTTTTAACCCAATCTGCTTTAGGAACCTAATGCTCTACCCTTAAAATTAAAAATATCCCAGGCTCAGTCTGGCGTGCTTCTACACTGAAGTAGGAGGAGTGACAAATACTCAGTGAAAGGTAGACTCTGAATTCAGCAGAAGAAAGCAAGCCAATGTGCCTACCCTGAGGGAAGCCAGGCTGCAGATTCCTCTGTGAGCTACTTCCAAGAAGGAAGAACTTCCAAGAAGTAAAGCATATTACTTCTGCTGCTGCTTCATAGTGACCTGAGGAGTCACCCATGGATAATGACACTTGCTTGAAATAAACACCCCATTTCCTCCCCATAACTAATTCAACTTCAGGAAGTGAGTAAAAGGGATTCTGAAAAAAGTATTTTTAAGAAGAATTCAAGATTTTCTTAAAGCACAGATAAATACCCACTGAATCCTAAATCTGATGTCACTGTGTTGAAACTTCCTCAGCTCCCTAATTACAAAAGCACATTCACATGCTGATGGACCCCTTCACTATGCATCTTTCAGAAGTCAGGGTTGTGTTTAGGCAATGCACCATGTCCAAGTCTATAATTATGTCCTAAGTACAGATGAGATCCTAGTACATTCATGAAACTGACCTTTTGTTTCAGTGTTCCATTTTTTTTCCACATCATGAACTTAACCCATGAAATTACTTTCTCTATCCTGAAATACAATATAGCTAATGCAAACCAAACTCTTAAAAGATCTGAACTCACTAGAGTCAGAATGGCTAAAGAACAGGCAGAATTATGCTGACAGGATCCAGGAGACTTGCAACCTGTTTCAAGCACTTTCTTGAAAACTTCTTCAAAGCTATTTCACACTGAAAGAGGCAGCAGCCAAGAGCTTGGACTGGATATTAGAAAATGGATATGATTCAGTCTTGGAAAATAAGCCATAGTAGAACCATCATGGACTCACCTGTTGTTTGCTTTTGTTTTCTGTAGCTGCTCATCCTGTCTCGCATACCACTCTTCTAGCTCCTTTATTGCTTTTTCTTTCCACTCTGCTTCTTGCTTCCGAGAATTGGCATCTTTGAAGGGAAGGAAAAGACAATATAAATGAGGTAAAGCACAAATTTAAGTTCATCAGTCTACTGTGGTCTTACTGAATTTATGGTGGGTGTGGGCACATGTGTATAAGTGTGGGGAGAATAGTAGGAAGGGGAGGATAAAATTATATCTTCCCTTTTTGTACAACCAACTCTTTATTCAACACAATATAATCTCCTGCAATTTTCCTGGGGTGGCTGACCATGACCAAATCCACCTCTAAACTGGAAAAATAGATGAAAAATGCTTCATGAATTTATGTGTCTTCCTTGCAAAGGGGCCATATTATTCTTTTCTGTATCATTCCAATTTTAGTTTATGTGCTGCCAAAGTGAGCACACAACTCTTGAGCTCATAATCCTATTCCTTATCTTTCACTACATTTTATCCTAGTCCACTGACAAGTTGATGGGTCATTAGTTGGACCTGTTCACAAACAAAATGAATTAAATTGAGGGAGAATGGGGAGAGGAAGCATATGCAGACTGAGCTCAGACTGCAGATTAAGCTCATGGAAGAGATGAGACAGAGCTAGCAAAGAAACCCCAAGAGAAAAAACTGCAAGAGTTTGGGTGTGGGATCACCATCAAGAGTTAAGCCAAAAAGTTCTAGAGATGAAGCGAGAAAACACACCTTTTGGGTTAGATTGGATTCTCAAATATAAAGAACTAAACATGGTTTTCCCTAAGCCAATTAGCTGAAGAGACTTAGGATAGTGGTGTTATGGAATAGACAGATGAGGATGGTGGGAACATAAGGTTAAGACAGTAATTCTATAAAATGGGCCCACTGTGCTAACCCCCAAATGCCTTCTTTTCCAAGAATTTACCTGCAGCCCTGCCTGGCCTAAATAAACAAGATATGTCACATTCCTCAGCAAACTATCAGCTAACTGTAGGAGAAATGCAGGCCCAAGATAATGTCAGTAGGAGGAACCTAGGAGATTTTTTGTGACCAGATCCATCCTGAAACTCTAGGAGATAAGGATAATTCCTCCTAACCATAAAATCTGTAAGAATGTATGGTTAAAGAATCCAATTAGAACCAGTCAACAAGGGCCAAGGTGACCTAGAGATGCCATGACAGTGGGGACTTGAAGTCTGATGTCACCTTGCTGTCAGGCAAAAGCCAAGAGGTAGGCCTGGCTGGGACCCTCTGGAAACTTCTCTGGGTCACCAATAAAACTGGCGTGCAAGAGAGGCACATTGTCCCTCTCCCCTGTGAGAGGACCCACACTCTCCCTTTAGTGTGTCCCCTTTCCCTTTCCCATTCCGGTTGATAAACTCAGTCCTATTACTCTGAATGACATGTCTGAAATCTTTCTAACTTGATCATAAGAACTGGGGTTTTAAGAGAGGGTCTTCACGTTACCTCTGTTTCTTGGAAGGCCCCAGCTCTTTAACAGTGGAGATAAAGAAATACATGTCACAGGTACTGATGCAGGTGACATGCCTCACACATGCTAGGCAAAAGCTCTACCACTGCACTAAATTGTCCTCTGGCTTTTTTATAAAAGGAAGTGCCACTGGCAGTAAGAATTCCTCAGTGCTTAGCTTGATGGGATAAAGATCTGAGCCTGAATGCAATCTCTTTTGAGTCTGGAAAGGAGGAAAGTATAAAGAGTCCCTTTAGAGAGCAAGGCACAGTGAGAGGGGCCTTCTTCTCTGTCCACCCTCATTACTGTTCACAGAAAGAAATTATTTGAGAATGCAGCCAGCACTACGCTGAAAACCACTGATACTGGCCCTCTATTTTTAGCATCTTGTGCTTTCTCACAGTTCTTGCAAGGAAAAAGGTGAAACTGAAGAAATATCTTATTTGTGAACAAATTCAGCTCAATAAGAAGGCAAGGCCAAATGTCTAATGTTCCTCAAGATGGCATCTTGAGTTAAGAAAACTCTTCAAGAAAAGTGCAGTGGCACATACCTGTAATCCCACTACTTTAGAGGTAGAGGTAGGAGGATCACAATTTCAAGGCCAGTCTTGGCAATGCAGCGAGACCCTGCCTCAAAATTTAAAAAGTGAGTGGGGGGGGGAGGTTGGTGGGGGTGTGTGGAGTTATAGCTCATTGGTAGAACACCCCTGAGTTAAATCCCCAGTACAAAAAAAAGAAAGAAGAAAGAAAACTCTTTGGGAGAATTCCCAAGGCACCCAATTTGATTATTGAAAAAGAAATTGAAAATTTCTACAACCATAGTATACTTTCTATGGAGAAGACAATCATTGCTAAACTTTAGAAAAATATAAAAGACAAAAGCTGGGTTCTGTAACTTCAGCAGTACTTGCTTCCAAGTCTAACCAAAAGACATAAAAAACAAGAAGCAAGGATCAAGATTGCTAGAACCTGAAGACCTGTTTTGTATTCCTAAAGCTGCATTATGCAATACAGTAGCTACCAGTCATACATAGCTACATATGTTTAAAGTTCTAAAATTCAGTTATCTCCGGCACACTAACTGCATTTTTAGTACTTAATGGTCATATGTGGTCAGTGGCTATCATACTGGACAGATACCAAATATTTCCACCGAAGAATTATTATTAGTGCTGCTATATATAAGCTTAAACTTAAATGTGTCTTTGTTCTGAAAGCCATATAAATTAGACCAGAGATAGAAGATTTGGCAATAACTGGCTATATTATCTGGATCAAGTCTGTTCCTATTTCCAGATGTTGGTTCTCCAGCTGAAAAATAAGGAATTATGTTTTTACAGGGTCATTTTTTTTTTCCATTTGTTTTCTTCTTTTATGGGGGTAGGGGACAGGGGATTGGGGATTTAACCAAGGGCACTTTACCACTGAGCCACACTGCCAGCCCTTTTGATTTTTTAAATTTTGAGACAGTATCTCACTAAATCACTTAGGACTTCACTAAAGTTGCTGAGGCTGGCTTCAAACTTGCAGTCCTCTTGTATCAGCCTCCCTAGTTCTGGGGTTACAGGCATGTGCCACTGTGCCTGGAAGATCATTGGTTCTTAAGGAATAATATTGTTGACATTGTGGTTACATAGGAGAATGCCTGTTTCTAGGAAACATTCAAGGGAGTTGTAAACATTCCTTGTTTATCCAACTATTCTGTGTTTTAAACCACGGATTATATCCTCACCAATGCACCAGATATAGGCAAGAGATCTTTCCTGATCTTGAACCAATCTGATTGGTTACCTGATTCTCCATATACACATCACTTTACCAGAGGATAGATTGGTTAGCACTGATCTTGGGCTTGGCCTGCCCAGCCTTATGGTTATGTACACCCACTTTGCTTAGAAAGCAACACAGGCATGGATGTGGCCCTTGAAGCAATAAAGACTCAAGCTGAAATTCTTCTTTATTACTTCTTAACTATGTGTTTTAAATACTTATTTTACCAATAATATCTACTTCTTCATCCATAAACCTGTACGAACTTATCTTACAGAGATATTAAGAAAAACAAATTGTGCATGTTTTCACATTCTCTTTGTAAGCATTACCTAAACTAAGCCTTCAAATGACAGACTGTAAATGTCTTTCATGTGGATACAATACCATCATGAAGTTTACCAAGCACTTTCATAAATACCACCTCAGACTATCCTTGGAGATCAGCTACACACATCTTTCACGGATGATGACACAGACTCTGAAGTTTAACCAGGTGCCCACAGAAGGTTAAGGTAAGATTGGGTCCTGAACCCAGCCTTTCATAGCAAGTCCAGGGCTCTCTCTTTCCACAACTTCACTGTGCCCTTCCTGGGAGAGGAAGCTTTCTGGGCTATCATACTCCTCACACAACAGAGCTAAGCATCTCAATGTCAGTGGCCTTGTGATCTTCAGATTGAGAAAGATTTCCCCAAAGATCAAGCAAGTGAATTTGGTTCAATCCCCAATTACACCAAAAACAAACCAAAAAAAAAACAAAAAAACAAAAACAAAAACCTCACCAGACAAGGATACTATGGCTAATTCAAGATAAAATGCATAAAAATAGAGTCCAGATTAACAAAGACAGATGGATTCCTTACCAAGGGCTTCCAAGCGTTCCATTTGCTCTTCTCTCCACTTACGGATACTTTCAGGTTCTGACTGCAATCGATCCACTTGTGAAATAGCTGCATAACTGTCTGTGGGACCATTAGTCTCCTTAACACAAAATACAATTAATGTTCTATCAGTATCAAAAACTCCTTTCTGAATTGTGCTTCAAAAAATTAGAACTTCTGGTTACACACAACACTGGAGGCTGCTGTAAAAATGTTTTAAGAATTACCCTAAAATTAACAACTTCACATACTGATAGGTTTCAACATTAATGCACTGAATTCTTGATGCTCTTCGATTAATTGTACACAAATAGAGCACAATTTTTCACTTCTCTGATTGTACACACCATTTATGCAATCTACATGTACCCAGGGTAATGATGTCCGTCTCATTCCACTGTCTTTCCTATATCCATAGCCCCTCCCCTCCCACCTCCCCTTCCTTTGCCCAATCCAAAATTCCTGCAATCATCCCACGCACCCCCTATAGATTAGCATCCACTTCTTAGAGAAAACATTTGGCCTTTGGTTTTTTTGGGGATGGCTTACTTCACCTAGCATGATATTATCCAACTCAATCCATTTACCTGCAAATGCCACAATTTTATTCTCTTTTCCATTCTCATATTCCATTGTCTATATATACCACAGTTTCTTTATCCATTCACCTACTGAAGGACATCTAGGTTGGTTCCACATTTTAGCTATTGTGAACTGTGCTTCTATAAACATTAATGTGACTGCATCACTGTAGTATGCCATTTTTAAGTCCCTTGGGTTTAGACAAAGGAATGGGATAGCTGGGTCAAAAGGTGGTTCCATTCCAAATTTTTTAAGGAATCTCCATACTACTTTCCAGATTAGTTGTACCAATTTGCAGTCCCACCAGCAATGTATGAGTGTGCCTTTTCCCCTACATCCTTGCCAAATCTTATTTCTTGTATTCTTGATAACGGCCATTCTGACCAGAGTAAGAAGAAATCTTAATGAGTAGTTTTGATTTGCATTTCTCTAATTACTAGAGATGTTAAACATTTTTTTCATATATTTGTTGACAGATTGTGGCATCATAATACCAGACCTTAAACTATACTATAGAGCCATAGTAACAAAAACAGTTTGTGGTATTGGTGCCAAAACAGGCATAGACCAGTGGTACAGAATAGAAGACACAGAGACAAACCCACATACATACAGTTATCTCACACTAGCAAAGGCGCCCAAAATACACATTGAAAAAAAGATAGCCTCTTCACAAATGGTGCTGGAAAAGCTAGAAATCCATAGGTAGCAAAGTAAAACTAAACCCTTATCTCTCACCTTGCACAAAACTCAAAGTGGATCAAGGACCTAAGAATTAGACCAGAGACCCTGTGCCTAACTGAAGAAAAAGTAGGCCCAATAATGCACTGAATTCTTAAGAATCTTGTGAAGGAAGCAGAATTGTTGCTATCTGACCGGTTAATTAGTGAGATCTGAGTGGATGATAGAAAAGTTGGCGGTGGGTGGGTAATGGACCTATTAGAAAACCATATTAGCAGTTTGTTTCCTCTTTCAACACCATATTATATGATATCTTAAAAAAAAAAGGTACATAGCAAAGCAAGACCTAGAGCCTACAAATTCTAAATGCCATTATAATATTCAGGAAAAAGGTCACTTAATATCATTCAATTTACAAAATAGTAAATTCTAAGAAAGAGAATCCAAAAGAAAGTGAGTTACTCCTCCTCCTCCTCCCAAAAGAAGGGAGAGAAGGATGAAAAGGCAGGCAAATGAGAGTCACTGGGTAGGGAGGTGAGGTAGCTCTTATTTATTAATTTCCCTCACCAGTACTAGAGACTAAACCCAGAGTGCTCTAACACTAAAGCTATATCCCCATCCCTTTTTAAGCCAGGGTCTTGCTAAATTGCAGAGGATGACCTTGAAACCTGCAAACTTCCTGCATCTACCTTCTAAGTAGCTGAGATTTCAGGTGTGCACCACCATGCCCAGCAGCAGTGGCTCTGCTTCGTTGTAGGTAAGATTTGGGAGCTAACAGAAAAATGGATAAAGACTTAAATAGCCATTCTCATCATCATAAAGGATTATTTCCTGAAAATCAAGGTGATAATACTAGGGCCAGGTTAATAACATCTTAAAAGAATGTTCTTCCTATCAATGCCACCACTTTTTAAGTCCTTTCACTTTGGCAGATAATATACCAACTACTAATATATCCAGGAAAGTCAAAAGACTAGGATCTCTTTCTATTCAATTCACAAGAAAGGAAGACTCTCAATCATCATTCAACATAATCAGAGTACTCTACCTGGTAGTATTCGCCATTCATCACTCCATCAACAGCATCTGTAAGACATGAAATGTTAATCTATCAACCAGGATTGGTCAAATATTGGGTCAAAGGACAATATAGTGGAACACAGTATTGGATACTGCAGGACTCTGAGCTACTAAATGCTACCCCTCTGGTAGGTACTAGACTGTAACGATTTTTTATTTCATGAAACTAAGATGTACTTACACACAAATGACAAAGACTTCATCAAAATATAGACAAATCTGTCCCCAAGCTACCAGGTCAAAACCTTTTAAGATTCTGTTTCCTGGCTGAGAGAGGTGACAAATGGAAGCCTGGAAGAAGAGCTGCATAGAGGAACAGTGTTACTCTATGAAAGTTTTAAACAATGCAAAAGAAAAATCTGGCCTGAAATCAACAGTGAGCAGAGATGTGGAGCTTCACTTTCAAACTAAGGTGCTGCTTTGGGCATCAGGAATCTCCACTATATGGATGGAGTGGGTCTGGTACCAAAGGGTCTACAGTTGAAATATGTTAACTTTTTTTTTTTAATATTTATTTTTTAGTTTTAGGTGGACACAACATCTTTATTTTATTTTTTTAATGTGGTGCTGAGGATCAAACCCAGTGCCTCACACATGCCAGACGAGCACACTACCACTTGAGCCACATCCCCAGCCCTAAACTTGTTAATTTCTCTAGACCATTTGGAATTAGTCCAAAACAATTATGATTTGAGCATACCAAATTAAACCAGTATTTCAAGGATATAAATCATTTAAAAACTCAAAAAATATGATATACAATCCAGCCTTTTTGTGCGGCACCATTAACTATTCTGAGTTAAATGAGAAAGTACATTTTTGGGGGGTTGTGGGAGGGAGGGAGGGAGGGAGAGAGAGAGAGAAGGAAGGAAGGAAGGAAAGATATTGTGTCCATCTACAACTAAAAATAAAAAATATGAAGTTTCTTTTTAATAAGTAAGGCCTATCTATACCTTTTGCCCATTTAGCAGAAAAGGGTTCTAGAGTCTAAACATATTTGAATTAAAAACAGTACTAAGTAAAAAATATTCAAAATATTCAAAAAAATCAGAGTTTTGGGCAGGGTAGGTAAAGAATAAGAGGCAAGCAGAGAGAGGATCTGGCAATACTAGGCCTGCATTCCTGAACTGGTAATAATTCCCTGGAACTGAGGATAACCTTTCAGGATAGCAAACTCTATAATCAATCTACCACTCCCCACTAAAACCAATGACTTGATTTTAAAACCTTCTCTGTGTTTCACTAATTCTGTTACCCAATCACCATGAATTTCTAAGCCCTGCCAACACAACAGCCCTCAGAGAGGAGGTCTGGAAGGGCTGCACAGTCCCTCTGAAGGAGTTACCCTGCCTTTTCCTGAAAACCTCAGTATGGCCATAAAACCTTAGCTTCCAACGACCTCCTCTATTATCTATTAGCTAATTTGCTACCAACTGTGTAGGATTTCTATTACTTTATCCCAATTTTTCAAACTTCAGTGACTATCTTATTACATGAGGTAGAAGAAAATGAGAAGAGATGAACCTGAAAGATACAAGAAACTGGGATATAAACAGGAATGCCAAGTAGTTATGGTGGACCACATTCTGAGGCTCTTGAAGGGTAATACATGAAAAACACCACAGCTTACCTAGAGGCCTGGGGCAAGGGGGCTCTCAACCTTGTTTTTCCCTCTAACAGGCAAAGATTTCATCAAACCACTCCTTTAACTTTCTTGATTTCTAATTAAACCCAACTTGAACTACCTATTTTCAAATCACACAATCCTAACATTTCATTCACTTTTTAGTCCTCTTATTTCTCCTAATTCCCAGCCCCTAGCTTTGGGAGCACTGAAAACTTACAGATCATTTCTCTATCATGCTCTTCTTGATATTAAAATAGTTATTATTTTTTAGAAAAAGGAAAATAAAAACAGAAGAAAATGCCATATAATCCCAACACCAATCTCTGTACTTTTAATTTTTCCTCACACACGATGAATGTTTTTTAATAATCCATTCATCTATATCATTAAAAAAAAATTGGACGGGGCGGGGCGGGGGGAGGGAGATGGGGGCAGTGCTGGGGATCAAACCCAGGGCTTTCTGCAAGTGTTCTACCATCAAGCTATGTCCCCAGCCCTTTTAATTCTGTGGTTTGGGGATTGAACCAGAGGTGTTTAACCACTAAGCCACATCCCCAGTCCTTTTTTTTTTTGAGAGAGAGAGAGAATTTTAATATTTATTTTTTAGTTTTCGGTGGACACAACATCTTTATTTGTATGTGGTGCTGAGGATCGAACCCAGCGTCACACGCATGCTAGGCGAGCGCGCTACCGCTTGAGTCACATCTCCAGCCCATCCCCAGTCCTTTTTAAAATTAATTTATTTTTATTTTAAAACAGTCTTGCTAAGTTGCCCAGACTAGTCTTGAACTTTCGATCCTCTTGCCTCAGCCATCTGAGTAGTTGGGATTACAGATGTGTGCCACCATGCCTGGTGATATTGTTTTCAACTTTCTTACTAAGAAAACACCTACTATTTATTGCTTACAGTGTGCCAGATACAGTGTTAAACACTTCCCTTCACATATATTAACTTTTAATTCTTGCAATATACCTCTATGTATCAACACTTCATAAATAACCTTGGAACATGTAGGGTTCCTTAAGAGAAGAAAAGGTATTCTTGAAAGAGCAGATAATTAATGAAACTATTTTCTTTTTAACTTATTTTTTATGTTTAAAATAATATAAACATTAAATGCACATTAGATAATCAGCCTTTAAAAGTTTGATAGGACTGGGATGTAGCTGAGTGTAGAGGGCTTGTTAACAGGTGTGAGGCCCTGGGTAGAGTCCCCAGCAGCAGCAGCTGCAACAAAAGGCAGTGTTAAACCTGAGCAAGCATCATGGCAGGAAAGATCATCTGTTAATTTGATAATAAGAATACAAACCATAGGATCTAAGCCCAGAGCAACAAACCTCAGCTACCTTTGATCTGTTTCAACTACTGGTTTATGTTTGTGTGTGTGTGTGTGTGTAT